GAGCGATGATGGGTCAGATCGTGCTCTCAGAATCCGACAAGACGTGACGGTGACGATTGAGCGCGAGACCCGCCCACCAGAATATTGGGACACCCACCATGCGCAGATCACCAATGGCCGTCCCCAACCTCAGCCCTGATGAAGCACGATCGACTTTTTTTTTTTTCTCTTCTTAGCATAGACTTAGACAACTGTATATACTTTTCTTCTTCTTTCTTCATTTTATGATCTACTGATGTCCATTACCCCAAAGACTTTTTTTGATTTATTGTGTGTATTTACTCGTGGGGTACCAGGTCCGGCCGTGGTCGGGATGTGGAGGGAGGTGACAAAAGGCCGCAGACCAGGAATCCCGAACCCAACCATGGGGTGAGAAATCAATTATTGATTGATCTTCAGAGATTACCTGCACAAACCCTGGATATACGGAATTGATTCGCGAGGGCGAATATGAGGATCGCGCACAAACCAGAATATTCGCAAATCCGGTCATCCAATGCCATTGCGAAAAGCAGTATGAGGAAAAAAAAAAAAATGGCAGATATGACCGAAGTTTCAAAGTTTTCAGCTGGTATGTATTGTCCCACTCCCACTTCCTGCAGATCTCCCGGGAATTGCGTCAGGTAGCGTGGGGCAGTGCGGTATCGTTGTATTTGAAAGAGGGAATTTGTAATTTGCACTTCCGCGCCTGCCACTGTCCTATTCACAACTGTGAAGCAATCAATTCTGATTGATTCTATAAAGTTAGTCTAACCTCTAGCACGAGCCCAGGCCGACTCTCAACCGCCGCCTTTCTCGATCAGGAAATCTTCTCGATCTTTTGCATTAGGCTGCACAGGCAAAGGACTTGGCTCTCCGGAGTCGTTAACCGGTGTTGCAAACCTACAGAGTACTGATAGCCTGATTCCAAGCCGAAACTCGGTACATGAGCAGCATAGTATCATCACTCACTACCTATTCCTGGTCCAATATCCGTACTCCTCACCGAGAGAACCAGCAACCATCGGAGTAATTACCTAGGTACTTAGCCACGTACCAGCCACGTACCTGATGATCGTATACTCAAACGGCAGGCGTCATCCGAGACGGCAGCAGGTTACTAAGTCATATCAAGTAAGCGTCTCCTTTCCGCCCCTGGGTAAGATTTAGCGATAACTCGCTAGTACCTACAGTGGGGTCCTGCCAAAAGTAGAAGCAAGATGGAGCATCCATCGGGATCGGATCATGTTGCGCCACCGGGAGTTGGAATGAATGAAAATGTTACCTTGCCTAGGTACTTACGTACGAGCTCGGGTATTACTATTTGTTTTGGGATTGAGGGTGAAACAACTAGCAAGTGTCGAGAATCGAGCACTGCATCAGCTACAAGTCGATGAGCTGAGCTCCACTGGCAGTGGATGCCGCATCTACGGAGATAAAAGATTGGAGTTATCTTGCGACTTGCGGCCAAGTTTGGTACGAAATTCCTTGAGGGGATAGGCTCGAGTGGAGAGGAGACTAGTAAACTTTGGAAGGACACCGATCAAGCTGAGGACCGTGGGGTGCGCTCCCACCTGCAAACCACGGTTGGTTTTATCTTGCTGGTCAAGGTCAATCTGTTCATTTTCCTGATATGGACGACTTGATTCTTTTCAGGCAGGTGTCAACAAAATGTATCATCCGGGACGGACAATCGGCATTGGAATTTTATACAAGATTGTTTGTCAACTTTGCCGTCTCAAGAGTCAAGGGTATAAGCGAAGGATTTTTTTTAGGCCAGCACACACGCTAATAGTGTGTAGCATGCGCTCCACGTGGTGTTCGCATAGTCTGTCGCGACTCGTGAGTCCATCCTTCGCGCAAGGATTAGCTGGGACTATTACTCTAAACTAGACTAAATGTACACACATCCTGTCCAAACATGGATGTCATGTCGGTTGGTCCAGTGGATATCGGTTCGCCTGTTGTCCGGTGCTAAAGCCGGATGACTACTTTGTTTGTCCATCTCCGAGAATAGTATGACTGCCCAGACTCTCAATCGGATGTATCTATGCGAGATGGTAGTAGTTTCTGGCTTGCGAAACTCGTGGTCGTACAGCTTTGGCGAATCCATAGTTCATGTCCATGGAGCAGACCGGCATTCACTAAGATGCAGGTTGCAGGGATACAGAGTAGATCGGGCAAAGGCGCACGGCCACTGTGCCTGTTCGCCGGTTACACCGAAGTGGGTATATTTCGTAGTATATACTATGTAGCCTTTGCTAGGTTAGATGCGAACTGCAGGTCCTGAGTCCTGACAAATACGGTCTTGCCATTGATAATAACTCCGTACGCGAGTGATTCTCGTCAAATTATCCGTCGGGGGAAGCCGAACTAGGAGTTTCGAGTCATGAGCGCAGTTCTAGGCTACTCTTGTATCCAGCAGGGTAATCTACGGAGAAAAGGAAGATGGATATTTGGAACCTGTAAACAAAAGCACAAATGCACGTGACTAGAGCTGTGCCCCGCGTGTTTGCGTGATGATGGAAGATCATCGTGTCAATACTCGATAGACAAGAAAATGCCCTTGGCGATGGCTATGATTCCCAGCAGCTTTTTCTCACGGTAAGTGCTGCCGAGTACTTCTCCCCACCGATACGTAGACACTGACACGTCGTTTATGGTACCTAATTTCAGAGGCGTAGTTCGTCAAGGAGCCTGCACCTGCACAGCCAAAGTGATAAGCAAGAGATCGGCCACTATTGATTACCAACCGCACTTTGCCTTGATTTATTCGTCATCGCCGGCGTGGTTCTAGCAGACTTTGGCTCTAAAGTTCTTAGCATTGCAACGTGCAACTTACAACATGTCGGGGGAACTTTCTCCCTCGTTCTTGGGCTTGGAGGGCCTCCATGTCTTCATCACTGGTGCTGCTGGGGGCATTGGACAACGAGCCGTTCAGGAATTCCTAGGTAGGTGTAGATCGCATTTATTGCCTTTCGAAAACCCCGTACCTGCTACGTAAGCTAGAGATCGGCATAGCGTACTATGCTTGTCTGAGAATGCGATCCATTTCTGTAATGCGCATTGGTCAGAACTGGTCGATGAACTGCGTAATGTCATTATATGCGACTACATTGAAGTCTGCTAATGAGACCTGAATGCAGACCAAGGATGCAAGGTAACAGCATATGACCTCCGCGCGTTCGAGGCCCCAGACACCATTGGCGAGAGTTACGCCCGACTCAACGTCCAGCGCGGCGACATCTCCGACGAAGAATCCATCCGATCCGGCATCGCACTCGCCGTCAAGCGATTCGGGCCCATCAACATCCTCATCGCCAACGCCAGCATCACCGATGAAAGCCATGATTATCCCATCTGGGAGCTCCCGCTGGAAACATGGGAGAAGACGTATAGCGTCAACGTCCGCGGCACGTTCCTCACCATCAAGCACTTCCTGCGTGCTGCGCGAACCGCACAGCAGACTCTGGGCAGGGAGCTGGAGAATCTGGCCATTGTCGTGATGGGAAGTGAGACGGGGGTTTTTGGGCAGGAAGGTCATGCCGAGTACGCGTCCGGCAAGGCTGGTCTCCAGTATGGATTGGTGAAGAGTGTCAAGAACGAGATCGTTCGTCTCAATAGCAGGGCGAGAATCAACGCCGTCGCACCGGGATGGGTGGACACACCCATGATCGAAGGCCGACTGGATGATCTAAAGGAACTGTGGGCCGAAGCCCAAGCAACGTATGTTCTGTCAACCAGCCCGAGGTCTATCGCTGATGGACTCATAGGGTTCCCCTCAAGAAGATCGCAAAACCAGAAGACGTCGCACGTACCATGGCGTTTCTGGCATCGCACCGCGCAGCAGGCCATATCACGGGCCAATGCCTCAGCGTCGACGGAGGCATGGAAGGCCGCCTCCTCTGGAAGGAGAGCAATCCATCAACCCCGGAGACAACAAGCCTGGCCGCAAAGCAATCCATCCCGCGCAGCTTACCACCCCCCAAACGCAACAAGATCCGCGTCGCAGTATCCATCGACCTAGACGCCGTCTCCGGCTGGCTAGGAACAGGCCACCACCCAGACAACATCCTGGCCGACTACTCCGCCGGCTTCTTCGCCGCCAAAGTCGGCGTCCCGCGGCTGCTCCGCATGCTCAAGAAACTCAACATCGCCGACCGCTGCACCTGGTTCATCCCAGGCCACTCAGCCGAGAGCTTCCCAGAGGAAGTCGCGCAGGTCGTCGCCTCAGGCGCCGAGATCGGGCTGCACGGGTACGCCCACGAAGGCGCCTACCAGATGACACCGCAGCAGGAGCGCGACGTCCTGGTCAAGTGCATCGACATCGCGACTAAACTCACAGGCAAGAAACCAGCGGGCTACCGCGCGCCGCTCTACCAGCTCCGCGAGTCGACGCTGGATCTCCTTGAGGAATTCGGATTTGAATATGGTGCGTCTTTCCCCCCTCATTTACCCCCATTCACACAACCTTCTCTTCTCGCTGCGCATGCTAATTGATCATAGATGCATCCCTAACAGACCACGACTGCCACCCCTTCTTCGCCCCGCGCCGTCCCGCCCTCCAACCAATCGACTTCTCCCAACCCGCCTCTACCTGGATGCACCCGATCCCTGCCAGCACGCCCGCAAACGAAGACCGGCGCCCCCTCGTCTGTGTCCCCTGCAACTGGTACATGGAGGACATGACCCCCATGCAATTCCTGCCGCACGCGCCCAACTCGCACGGGTACACGGATGTGCGGGTGATTGAGAACCTATGGCGGGACCGGTTCCTGTGGATTCGCGAGAATGAGGAAGAGCCGATCTTCCCTGTGCTGATGCATCCGGATACGAGTGGCATGGCGCATGTGATTGGGATGGTGGAGCGGTTGTTGGGGTGGGTGAAGGGGTGGGGGATGAGGTGGAGTTTTGTCAGACGGGGGAGATTGCGAGGTGGTTTCGGGAGAGGAATGCAAATGCGACTTAGATTATGATATGCTACTGATGAGACTACGAGGGTGTAAGACAGTTGGAAGACATAAAATATACTCAGGATTATCATCACTATGTACAAGTCTGTAGACTATCATGCATGTAGACAAAACCATATCAACCTATAACGCCAATAAATGACAAAAGCAAGTCGTAGCTCATCACTCGTTTTATCGTGAATTCAAGGAAACACTTTTGCAAAAGCTTTACTCGTAAAGATCCATATCACCACTTCCATCCTCGATCTCAGCCAGCGCGTCATCCTCATCCACCATTTCCTCATCTTCCTCCATTTCAACCTCGTGGTTCGGCAGCACGTCAATGCGCCCCTCGCGCATGACCACCCGCGCGACCTCGCCGTCCTGGATACTTCCACGCAGGATGAGAACGGCGAGTTTGTTGAGGACCTCGCGCTCGATGATCCGCGCCAGAGGACGGGCACCGTACGCTGGCGAGTACCCTGCTTCGCCGAGATAGTCTTTGACTTCCTCGGTGCACTGGATGGTGACGTTGCGGTTGTTCTGCTCGAGACGGCGCTGCACCTCGTTAAGGCGCAGGTCGACGATCTTGCGGATCTCCTTCCTGGTGAGCCGGTTGAAGATGACGGTGCTGGAGATACGGTTCAGGAACTCGGGCAGGAAATAGTCGCGGAGAGCGCCCATGACCAGCTCGCGGGTCTGAGGGTCAATGCGGCCGTCCTTGGTGGTTGGGCGCGAGAGGAACTCGGCTCCCAGGTTGGAGGTCATGACGACAATGCAGTTCTTGGCGTCGACGATTCTGCCCTGGCCGTCGGTGATCCGACCGTCGTCCATGAGCTGCAGGAGAACGGTGAGGACCTCCTTGGCTGCTTTTTCGACTTCGTCGAACAGCAGGATGGAGAAGGGCCGACGGCGCAGACTCTCGGTCAGCTGACCGCCAGCGTCGTGTCCAACGTAGCCGGGAGGAGCACCGATCATCCGGCTCAGCGAGTGCCGCTCCTGGTACTCAGACATGTCGAACCGGATCATGGCCTTGGGATCGTCGAAGAGGAACTCGGCAAGTGCCTTGGTCAAGAGAGTCTTACCGGTACCGGAGGGACCGCAGAAGAGGAAGCTTGGAGGCGAGTTGGGGTTGCTGAGACCGGACCGTTGCAGCCGAATGGCATTGGAGACCGAAGCGACGGCTTCCTTCTGGCCAACAACGATCTTGCCAAGGTACTTCTCCATGTGCAACAACTTGTCCTTCTCGGTGGTCTTGAGTCGGGTGACAGGAATACCAGTCCAACGGGCGACGATCTCGTTGATCTGATCGGGCCCGACCGCGTCGGCAAGCAGGGCCTCGCCATGATCGCCATTTCGAGCACGACGTTCCTCGTCCGCCTTGATGCGGTCGGCCTCGAGTCGCTCGATCAAGGCCTTGGTTTCGGGAATGGCAAAGTACTCCAGATCGGCAGCCGTCTGGGTGTCGCCGGACCGCTCCGCCTCGTCTCTCTTGACCTTGAGTGAGTCGAGCTTGATCTTGGCATCTTGGATCGCCTTGCTGCGCTGCTTCTCGCTTTCGTACTTCTCGCGCAAAGGTCGCAATTCTTCCGTCACATTGGCTGCTTCTTGCTTGGCTGCTTCCAACCGGGCCTTGGACGCATCGTCCTTTTCCCGCTCGAGAGCATGAATTTCAATCTGCAGCTGGCGGAGTCGTCTCTCGAGGTTGTCCAGGGCCTCGGGCTCCGACTCGCGGGTCACTCTGACAGCGGCAGCCGCCTCATCGATGAGATCGACGGCCGAGTCAGGAAGTCGGCGAGCAGTGAGATATCTGGCAGCCAATTCGGCCGCGGCAACGATAGCACCGTCGAGAATGTTGACACCATGGTGTACTTCGTACTTTTCCTTTAGACCACGGAGGATGGAGATGGTTTCAGAGACGGTAGGTTCCTTGACCAGGACCTGTTGGAATCGTCGTTCGAACGCTTGGTCTTTCTCGATGTACTTGCGGTATTCGCCGAGCGTGGTCGCACCGATACAGTGCAACTGACCACGAGCGAGCATGGGCTTCAGCAGATTGGCGGCATCCATACCTCCCTCGCCGCTTGAGCCTGCACCCATGAGAAGATGGATCTCGTCGACGAATAAGACAATCGTGTCCTTGGATTCTTCGATCTCCTTGAGAACGCCCTTCATTCTCTCTTCGAACTCACCCCGGTACTTGCTACCAGCGACCAACGAGCCGACGTCGAGGGAAAGCAGCCTGCACTGGGCCAGATTGGCCGGAACATCGGCGTTCACGATACGACGAGCCAGACCTTCGACAATGGTGGTCTTACCGACACCGGGCTCACCGATCAGCACCGGGTTGTTCTTGGTCCGTCGACTGAGAATCCGGATGACTCGACGAATCTCCTCCTCACGACCAATGACGGGGTCGATCTTGCCCTCTCTGGCCAGAGCGGTCATGTCGATGGTGAACTTCTTGAGGTTCTCATTCTCGCCCTCGGCGTCGGCGGTCTTGGAATCTACCCGCCGTGTACCACGGATTTGTTGTACCGCTGTATCGATCAGCTTGACATTGGGGATATTTGCATCCGCCAGTGCCCGCTGCACCTGAGAATCTTGAACGACCGAGAGGATGAGGTGGTCAATGGCAACGTAGCTGTCCTTTTGCGTCTTTGACAGCTCGGTCGAAGAACGAATGACTTTGGCGAGGGCTGGTGAGACGCTCACTGTGTCGGGAGGAGGATCTTGACTCGGTAACCGGACAAGTAGCTTCATGAGGGAACGCTCGAGGAGCTGAGGGTCGCCATGGGCGCGCTCGACTACCTGACGGAAGAGAGGAGCGGTGGAAGAGTCGTGAGAGGGATGTGCGGCAGTTTGTTGATCTTTCGAGTCATCTGGTGGAGGATTGAGGAGAGCAAGAGCGAGGTGAATAGGGAGGATCTGAGAATGGGCGTATTGCTCGGCCAGATGGCTCGAGTCCAATAACGCCTTGTTGGCTCTGTCTGTAAATTGAGCACCGTTCATTGCGAAACGGACTTGAGTGTCAGGTAATGATAATGTTGATGTGAGGGTATCTTTAGCAGAAAAAAGAAGAGAAGAAAAAGCTTGCGCGGACAAGAGGGGAGCTAGATATACCTGGAGTTGGGTATCATCAGCTCATTCTTCGCAGTATCGAGACGCCCCTCTCTGCCCCATGACGACACGAGTGGATTCCACCGCCTTCCAGAACAATCGATAATGTCACGTGATAACACAGCTGACATAATGGACATTTTGCTATAACTAAGGTACTCCGTAGCTACTACTCATGCAGCTGGATTTTGAGTGTTTTCTTTTTTTATTTTTATTTTTATTTATTTTAATTTATTTTAATTTTTTTTGCTTATTCGGGATTACTATTTGACTGACGAGGTTACTAAATCAAATTAGATAAGACTACCATTGCAGTTGTCCGTATCACTGACTACAGCTGTCAGATGTACCCATTGCTTGAAGTGGAGCTGACGGCCAGAGCCATTTGGATGCCTTGTTGCCTTGCCCTGGACCAATCACAAGCGCGTCGTTCAACACACCCAAGATGGACATTTAAGGTATCAATGCGGTCTTACTGAGCAATCAGACCGTTTCTGCCGCTGCTATTCAACCTAAATCTGGCTGAATAGGGGATAGTTAGAAGCTGAAAGGATAATGGAAAGCGCCCGAAACTGTGTTCAGTGTCGAGTGACTCGAGTCAGCCCATTAGAGCAGAGAGGATGATCCACCCCACGTTTGCTTCTACATTGAGGATAACAGGTACCTCTCTACCTCTCTAAGCTATCAGTCAAAATCTCAGATCTGTCCTGCTCAAAGAGGGTTGGTTACTTTAGAAATATGCGGAATTGATAGTCCATAGCCCATTATCGTGGTATATAGCTTCATCCTCTCAGTCTCACCACATACCTAACCGTGACGTCAAAGCGGGATTCTTTCTGGTTCATCTCCCATCCCTCTCTGTCTGCACTGTTCTTTTTAGCAATCCAGGGCAAAACAGGGATGTCTTCTGCCTCCGACCAACGAACTGTCATGCTGGAGTCTAGGTACTTGGTATCTCAAAAGAAGCTAAGGCACACTAATTGGCAGGAACAGAAACCGTCTCGCCTCTAAAACGCCTGCGGACTTGTTTTCCCCCACTTTTTTCTGCTTGATTTGTTGTGCAGGAAGCCCCTCGTTGTGGCCGTGGTTCAGGAACTGCATAATCCCACTACTTGGTCAGACCTCGGAATTGTTCCTTTTGACATACGTAGGAGGCGGCGAATCAAGGTAGACGTTTCAGAAGAAAATCGAATGAGAATCATTCATGGCATGGGGGGGGAAATGTGTAGATCTCAAATCTGTTCGAAAATTTTTATTATGTGGAGGGGTAGATAAATATCAGACCCTATGTACACACATACATCAGATGGGATCAGATATTAATATTCCTGGTGGAATAAATGTCTTGCATCAATCATACAATCACAGACAGACACTGAGATATCTCTTCTGAAGGAGTAGCTTTAGCCAAGTGGGTTCAAACCAGCAAATGATAAATCCTAGATTGAAGCAGCATCTCCAGTTCCTCAAGGCAGACCTTCTTATCTCGGACGGGCTGTCGCTAAACGTGGTTCAACCATCCAGACGATCTCCATCTTGTCCCATTCCTATTACTATTATTATTCTTGCAATTGACTTGGTTATCCACTGAACTAAGAGGGATTTACTTTTTCCGATTCAAAAAAGAAAGGAAACTCGACTCTTCCCCTCATCCTCTCATATCTCTCTGCATATAAAAGTTTGCTCATCTTCCCCTGGTCACTCCCGCTTCTTCTCTGTCTGAAGCATTCTTCGCCATCCTGACTTGACCCATCTGATCGTCGGATAGGATTACGTTGACGCTTCTCTTCTTCTTTTGATTGTCCCTGCTGTCTCAGTACAGTATACGATTGGAAAAGAAAAGGACAGCAGTAGACTACGACGCCGGTGGTGAAACTCCCTTGTTGAAGTAATACTCGGCTCATAACTGCAAACTGCTACCTTGGTTGTCATTTCGACTCCATTGACATCTGCTCATCAGAAATGTCGCAGAAACCCATTTTTGTTGCTACCCATCCTCGAGCATGCTCCACGGCCTTTGAAAGAGTGAGTACTACCCTCCTTGGTACTTCTTGGTACTCCTTGCATTACGCACAGTGTAGACGGACAAGTCACTGACCCTTCCATCATAGGTCTTTATGACTCGCCGTGATTCTATACAATGTATCCATGAGCCCTTTGGCGATGCCTTTTACTATGGTCCCGAAAGGCTCAGCTCCAGATTCGCCGATGATGAACAGGCCCGTCTAGACAGCGGCTTCAGCGAATCGACCTACAAGACGGTGCTGGATAGAATCGAGCGTGAAGCTGCCGAGAACGAGGTCCGACCCTAGTCTTTTTTCCTTTCGTTTTTCCTTTGTCCTCTGATTTCCTCTATTCTGCCTCATTCTCGTTCTCTCGTAATCTCCCCGGTCATTCCGCCATGATGAGAGCCATGGCCATATCCGGGAGAAAACCTACACTCACCTCGGTTCTCCAAAAACCCCTCTGTAAAACCCTCCGTCAAGATGTTGACCGCGGATTTTGGGTTAAATGATTCCCATGCACAAACCGAAACCACAAGGCGTCAGTCTCCGCAACGATACTTACCTGATACAGGGAAAGAGAGTCTTCATCAAGGATATTATCCACTACCTTCTGCCTCCCGACGGCAAGCCTGCCAGCATTGCCCCCTCACTCCAGAGGATCAAGCGCGGCGTAGGCACCAATGGACAAACCACCGGTGAAGAAAACGGCGTGGCCAACGGCCACGTCGACCAGGGCAGCAACGGCCAGGACCAGACCGGCCAGAACGGTCACTCCAAGTCCCGGACCGGCGAGCCCTACCCATACGACACGGAGCCCGAACCAGGCAATCCCACCGTGATGCCCAAGGAGCTCCTGTCGCGCTTCCACTTCGCCTTCCTCATCCGCGACCCGCACTTCAGTGTCCCCTCCTACTACCGGTGCACCGTCCCGCCCCTGGACGACGTCACCGGCTTCTACACCTACGACCCCCTCGAAGCCGGGTATGACGAGGTCCGCCGCGTCTTCGACTACCTGCGCCGCGAGGGCCTGGTCGGCCCGCACATCGCCACGCGCGAACAGGACGCCAACGAGCTCACCGACAACCAGAAGCCGCAGCCTGTTGTCCCCGGTCTGGGCGCAGGCCGCGAATCTGGCGCGGAGATCTGCGTCATCGACGCAGACGAGATGCTCGAGAAGCCCGCCCCCATGATCGAGGCGTTCTGCCGCAGTGTCGGGCTCGATTACGATCCCTCCATGCTGTGCTGGGACACCGACGCGGACCACAAGATTGCGCGGGACGCATTCGAGAAATGGCGCGGTTTCCACAACGATGCGATCGAGTCGAAGGGCCTGATGGCGAAGAAACATGTAGCACTCCCTTTCCCCCCATTTTTGTGTAAAAAGAGAAGGAACTAACCTTCCATAGCACCCTCCCAAATCCGAAGAAAAATTCGACGCCGAATGGCGCGAAAAGTACGGCCCCGAGGCCGCGGCTCGCATCCGCGAGGCTGTCGACCGCAACATGCCGGACTACCTGTACCTGAAGCAATTCGCCATGAAAGTGTAGGCTTGCGCCGCTGCGGAAACCTAGCAGAAAAAGTGGGTAAATTGCAACGAGGAGGATTTAAGCAGTATTTAAGGTTGGCACTTGACATCCCCTGCGATGATCCATGTTCCCACGACGATGCCAACGACGATGATGAGATCTTAGCTCTGATGACGCCATTTCGGGATTCTCCATACTCCGTACTCCACGGAGTGTTTCTACTTGCATTTCTGATTCTGATTCTGATTCGTCTATTTGTTTGATTGTCTGCGATGTCTTTTGCGTGTAGGGAGATTATCAACCCTTGTCAGGGTCATAGTCATAGCGATAGCTGTGTTAGGATACTGCACTATTCCGTAACGATTTATCCAACTTCTTGTCAACTAAACAGTAGGCTAGAATGATACATAATGCCACTAGTACAGGCTGAAAGACTTGACTTCATTCATCATACAGTACTATCTATCCCCATGACCCAGTATTTCTCAGGTCATCAAATGAACGCAAAATGGCGTATATCGAAATCACAGAGCCAGAACACAACGTATGTGCCAATGCCAATGCCAATGCCAACTGCCACAAAAAAGGCACAGATCCAACCCCTCAAACCGCGCTGTAACCGCCTCTTGACCCGCTCCCTTGGAGCGTATTGATGACCCGCCGCAGCCAGTCCTGGAAAATGTACGGAATGTCACGGAGGGTGTCGCCGTGCGGGAGGAGGTCCCAGCCACGGGCGCCGTAGCGGCTGTAGTTGAGCCAGGAGCCGAAAATAAGGTAGGCGGCGACGCAGAGGAAGAGACTGTAGAGATCATTAGCATTAGCTGTTGATTGAGGGGAGGGGAGAAAGCAAACATACATGATGATCAACCAGGTAAAGAACCCCCAATGGCTTGACCCGTCGCCCTTCCTGTCGCGGACATAATTGTCACACGCATACCGCGTCCGCCACTTCAGCTTCAACACGTACCCATCGTCGTCGGCAGGCCCGAAACTCTCAAACTGCAGGCTGCGCGAGGGATCCGACCCGTCATACGGGTCCGTCTTCTCCTTATCCTTGTCCTTGTTCTTGTCGCCTTCATCCTCCCGCACCATCAACCGCCGGCGCGTCTCATCCTCCTCCTCCTCCTCCTCCTCCTCGCTCGATCCATTCGCCACAGAAGTCAGCCCCTCCAGACCCGACCGGCCGGGATCACACTGGAACTCAATCACCGCCCGCGCATCCTTCTTCTTCTTGTCCTTGTCGACGTACTCGCCCCCCGCCAATTTCACAAGCAGCCCTTCCTGCCCATCTCCCTTCAGCCGCGTGACCTCAGCATCCTTGCTGCCGTGACCCAGGGGGTCCAGTCCGGCAATGGGGAAGGCATGGCTAATCTCCTCCAAGCGGTCCTCAGTATACTTGTACTGGAATCCACAGACTAGAACACAGTCAGCACTCATTCATTTTTTTTCCCCTTAAAATTCAACAGGTCCAAGATGCCACGGCACGCACTATTCTTTGAAGTCCCGCACTTTAGATCTCCCCGGATCGAGGCCTTGCCGAGCGTCTTGCAGATGTCCAGCACGTAGGTCGTATTCACGATGTAGTCTTCCGCCTTGTCGACATGGTAGATCGTGTGCACGCCGTGCAAGCCGTAGAGGTCGTATTTGTTCCCCTCAGCGATAATATTGCGGCAGTCGAACGACCCTGTCGCCGAGGCTAGACCGGTCAAGAGGGCGGAGGAGAAGAGCAACGATGGGGAAAGGCTCGATTGTATTCGCATCGTGGAAGGATGTCACGAGGATTCGACCGAGGGAAGGGTAGTGCGTAGTGTTGCGTTACACGATCGACGAGGCCGTTTCAGCGAGAGCGCAAGGATGATATTGTTGTTTGGACGAACGGTAATGCCTGTCTTGAAGGCAGAAGCGTGAGGTCACAAACCAACAGTGTCGGAGTCGGAAACGCGATTTGGGCGGTTGTCTGGATGGTAGGATGGGAAAAATCTTTGTTTATGATGCAGTATACTGGAGGATGATATATGTGGACAAAATTGGTAAAGGGGAATCAAAGGATAGATTGCTGTGCTGGCTGGATGCACACAGAACGAGATGGATGCGGTTTACTCATGCTACCAGTTGGGGATTCGTTTCTCCGGATTGCGATCGATCGTTGCAGGACAGCTCCTTATCACCTCGGTCCACAGCACCCGGGTGCGTATGAAGTACAACTGATCCTTAACGAGCTGGACGATTCTGCCCTCGTAACAGGCACTAAACAGCTATCCTATCCAGCTCTAAATGAGCCTTCTTGCGGAGGAGAGATGACAGGGGGCTGCTGATGATGTCACCCGACCGCTGTCATCCAGTTGTGTCGATATCTCCATCCTGACCAGACAAGAATACTAGAGTAGTCTATAGCCAGTCTTAGGAAATGTGCTGCCTCCTAGATAGAGCTATCGATTTTTCAACTCTATGACTTTGAGCTACGAGTCACTACACTACGGAGTACACACTGGACGCATCGCAGCTCCTGAGCATCATTTGATGCAGCACATGTCCAGATTAAGAATCACAGCAATTCTCACCAGTCTTTACATCTGTATACAAAACAAAACAAATATAGATCATATGGCAATACTCACCGAGTACACTGCCTTTCCTAAAACACTCCATGACAATAGACCATACCAAGAGTAGCTCCTCCGTATGCCGTCTCATCGCATCCCATCCGAACAGACAGCCATGCTGCTATATCCTGCCCCGCACGGACCACCTCCCACCGCAATCAAATCAATCTCCTAACCTGACCAAGAATTAGATACTCAAGCCCATAAATCCACCACCACCAAGCTCGAGACGTATCCCACGGGCTAGAAACCACCAGCAAAATGATGAACCACCGCATGGTACGCCTTAGATAATCCCGTCCCCAGCCCATCCCCAACCGTAGAAACCAAACCTAACGCTATCCCCCAGCTCAGCAAAGAAGACGAAGCCACAGCCGGCAGCGAAGAAAACGAAGTCCGGCGCGAGGACCAAGAGAAAATCAACCGGTTCAGCCGTCTTCATCAGCGCGAGTCTGTGCTCGAGGAGCAGCTTAAGGCGAAGCAGGTACGTTCACGCTTACACTCAATCCCCGGTTCTGGGGATGCCATTGGCTCCAATCGATGATACTGATGCTACGCGAATAGAAAGACAAGGAGGATCTAGAGGAGATTTCGACTGAGCTTGAGTTGGCGGATGAGGATGAGTTAGTCCCGTAGGTATTCCCTTCTGTGCTCTGCTTTGCTTTTATTATTTATGTACACCGTCATGCGGGGTTTGTTGACGCATAGCAGGTACAAGGTCGGCGACGCCTTCTTCCAGCTGCCGCTGGCAGATGCGCAGTCTCTTCTGGCGTCGTCGACGGAGCAGATTGATTCGGAGGTGTCTAAGCTGGAAGAGACCTTGGGAGATGTACGGGAGGAGTTGCAGCAGCTCAAGGTTGCGCTGTATGCGCGGTTTGGACGGAGTATCAATCTGGAGACGTAGATCTTCCTCTTCTTCTACTTGCTCTTCCTTTTTCAATGAGATATTCCACTTTTGGTCAGCAACAATGATGAACAGATCCGTCAACCGTTATGACCCGGTTGATGGTATAATTCTATGGATATCACTATCTGCATGGATATTAGGATATTGTGCTGTATGTATACATAGGCAAACATATAAGCAGAAATCTGTCGTAAACCATTATCTCGTCTCGTCTGTGGCCCAAACCCTCGATCCAGTCTTAGTACTGGCGAAGATAACACAAAGGCACCGACAAAATCTGTTCGGAAGTAGATTGCTGCGCCGATTCCGTACCTCGCTCCTGCTGTGGCGGAGCAACTGGTCGGGAAGAGAGCGTGTACGTGGAGCATGAGCTCGAATTCGTTGGCGACGCTTCATACAGGGGCACTCTCACGGCCGTTCTGACAAGCAGTCTTGTACAAATCAGATGATGCTCGCAATCGTCATCCGTGACTGAACCGAGTTCATTTCTTTTGGCGCTGGTGCTGGCTCTGCAGGCTCCGGTTTGAAAAGTACCGGTTCGGTTGGTTTCGCGGCCAGCGGAACATCCCGCCGCTCGTACTCTTGCTGTTGCTGCTGCTTCTCCTTCAAGAGATATTCGACTGTCCGCTCGACCCAGTCCCAGCCCTCCCAAGCGATCTCTGAACCTTCACCGCTAGGCCAATCATTCCGGGCACCAGTGTGGGTGAACGATACTGGGCTGTCGTATTTTGGGGACATGGCCTCTAGCTGAGAACCGGCCTCACTGCCTTCCCATACCCAGCTGCCGTCACTGGTTCCCTGCATGTCACCGGACACATACGCCATCATTTCTTCGTCCCGCTCCAGAATGGCTGCATCACCCCGGCGCAACCGCTCCAGCAGGCATTTGAGGAAGAACGCGATGTACCGTCCACAGGCTGCATTGACGGTGCGCGAATCTCCAACCACGGCGCTGACCTGAACGCACACCAATGCCGCACCAAATTCCTGACGAAACAAAAGCAAAAGCACACAACGCCAGATATGTGTACACAGCATCGTCCCGGCCGAGGATGCAAACAATGGTCGCCAGTCATCGTTCCCTGTACTCGAAGCATAGCGCATGCAACGGGAAAGAAGATGGGCAGTATCTTTTGCGATTGAAATGCTGTAATCCAAAGCCGCCGATCGAACCTTGGGGGAGCAAAAGGGAGATATGTTATGGCGGTGGAGAATGAGGCGGGCGTTTTGAAGATAGCCAATCGGGGCAAGAGAGCGCGGATCGAGAGGTAAATCGGACTTCGGATGGTATTGGGGAGGAAAGGTTGCAAGGCAGGCGCTAAAGTGTCGTTCGAAGGTTTCAAGAGTTCCGGTGGAAACACTGTAGCTTCGTAAGGTCCGAGTCAACTGGCCAATGGAGCGGACGACATGGATGGTGGCTAAAAGTGGAGTGGTCTGCTGGCCTTCAGGCACGCAAGCACCCTCTGCGATGTATTGCTCGTCAAACGGACAAGGAAGATCAACGTCGCAATCTTGGTCGTTGATCAATACCGGCTTCCCCATCTCCAGCGCAAGAAGCCTAGAGAACGATGAGCATCGTTGCATGTAAAGAAACCATTCCAAAAGACAAACCTGTCCCACGCGTACATCCCCCACCACATGCGTCTTCTCATTTCCCTCTCGACAACTGGCCACGGACCAGATTCAATATGGAGGCCTAACTCCTGCGCGATCCTCACTGCAGATCCAATCCATACCCAGCTCGCTGATTTCGAATTGACTTCGTAAAGGAATATACTGACCAAGAGGGCACATCTGGCTTGATCAAGTGTGAAGTTATCTTGCCAGACGTCAATGACCCCGCAAGAGATCTTGATAAACTCCTTCCCCTCCTCTTCTCTATTCCGGTCCAATGTGTGCAGAGACCCGCAGGCAAACACACCGAAGAGAACCGCGGCCCATTCCCGAGGAACACCCACAAGGGATCCGTTGCGGTATACATTCTCGTATTCAATCATGAAGCTGGGCCAGTGGATGATTGGTAGAACACAATGAATGCACGAATAATACTGTGAGAGGAGGTGATTCGCGACCTCTTTCGGAGGGAGTCGAGGTGGATCAGCAGTTAAAAGCGACTTGGGGCCGGGCTGACGATACGGCCTGGGTACCTTGAGAATCCCTCGTCCGTAGTTTCGCAGATTGGCTCGAGCCTCGCTGAGATCCTGCAACACCGGCGCTTTTGGTCTTCGGGAGGGACGATACGGGCCGATGTCGGGTAGCTTCAATTGCGGTTGTCCAGTGCCATCGATTTCCAAATCCATAAGATTATCTGACCTCAACATACCCGCTCGCAGTTGCTGAAGTTGCTGTTTGGTCGACGAGAGTTGTTTTTCCAGATCCTGCACTTGTCTACTTGCACGTTAGAATCGCAGGACCTTTCCGGACGGAAGAATCGCCGTAGCCACGAACTTGATAGAAGACATGCGTCTATTTGTTTCCTTGGTGAACTGGCATCGCACTTTTCGATTGGTGCATTCCGTACAGCTGGTCGATTCCGACGCATCACACTAGACAAGACAAGGTCAATGAATCCATGGTCATTTGAACTTGTACATAGAGTTATTACCTTGACTTTCCGCTCGCGACAGGCATCGCAGCTCGGATCCTTCCGTCTTTGGCGATACGCCCTTTTCTGATGTAGACCTTGTTGATGGTGGTGACTATGATGATGGTGTTGCTGCTGCTGCTGCTGCCCCACCACAGATGCAGGCGGAGGAAGAGTTGAGCCCCCCGATACAGATCCATTGAGCGAAGAGACATCCGAACGGATTGGAGGAACTTCGGCGGGAGAGCCACTAGACTCATAGGAACGAGTGTATGTCGAAGTTGTCGAGGGTGTTTGTCCCAGAGGCTGTAACAGCTGAGCCATTCTCAGTCCGCTGCCGGGCCTGCTCGGCGGAGCGGAAGCTAACCCCGCGGAGGTTCCCTGTGGGAAAGGACCAGAAGGAGAGGTCACTGACTGTACTGGAGGTAACTCATAACGACCACTCTGATGGTTTGGGCTAGCCGGAGAGCGGTAATAATGCGTCTGCATGGTTCCTGAATCGCAACATGAAAAGCCAGTTCATCAGGGGAGTTGGTGCGGTGTCTTGCTGGAAAAGTGTGTGTTGTCCACGTTCAAAGTGGCGTCAGTTGGGTTGACTTGGCTGCACAGAGGGAAAGACAACCCGAGAGACAGATTGAATGATCGAAAGCTTATAGAGCGAAGACGGTAGTGTATATGAAGTTTATTTCTGAAGGCGGAAAGGGTTGAGACGATACAAGAGCAATCAGTGCAAATAATAATAATAAATAATAATAATAATAATGTAAAAGGAGCAGAAGAAAAGATAAAAAGGACTGTCAGTCCAAAAAAGTTGACAAGGTCAAGCTGGCTGTGGTGGCGAAAGTGTGCAACGGGAATTAAATAATGTATCTCTCACTGTCGAATAAAGACAACCAGTCCTTGGAAAAGGTGCAAGATTAGAGTTGGTGCGGAAGGGCAGACGTTATGGCCCTTGGGTATTCACGTCGTCCTCCAATCTTGAGGGTTCAAGTTGATAGGACGAAAGACTGCGGGGAGAAGCCGAATAGTTAGTGGTGGTTGTCAAAGTTGAGGCCATCCAATTGATCCACGGATAGGCAGCCGAGATGTGTACCTAGTTGCCGAGGTCTGTGATTTGCTGCTCAAGGGAACGTGGAGGATTTAAGTACTGGGCGATCGAACATGTTATTAAACTGACCCAAGACAAAATTAAGAGATCGATACCATATGACAAGAACAGAAGCGGGAAGGAACAAGCGAAGAAGGATTGGAGAAGTGATTAGCAGACTACTAACCAAGTAGTAGACAAGGATCCTTGGATAATGGAAACATTAGTTATGATGCTAACTATGGAATAGGGTTGCTTCCTGGTCAGGATAAGACCAGATTACATTGACACTGGCTACCAAATGATCGATCTTTGCTGACATACGAAACACAACAATAATGACTGTGCGCTTCAATAGTCAGGGTAGTATTCTACCAGAGTAGATATCTTTAATTAACAAGATCGATTTGATGAAGAGGGGGGAATTATAAAAATAATATTCGCGAGAATCATATTAATATAAAATGATGGAAAGAAAAATATCAGTGCGCAGGGTCTTTTGAAAAAAAAAGAAACTTCCAGGAAGCAACTCCGAAAACTCTCTCGGCAGACCCCTGTCAAGAGAACAGAGCCAGAGCATGGCTGAAACAACGCCGGTTCACACCAAAATAGCACAGAGTATCGGAGTAGGCTGAGATCTCAGGAGGTGGAGATAGGACCGGTTAGACGAGGAATTATTCATGAAAGAACACACGATGGTTACTTAATTGCTTGCAGACTCATACAGTCTACGTCTGCGAATTGTTCCGCGTAACCTACTTCGGCATCTTTTGTCGGCTTGGCCATGTTATGATACTACTATTAGGCATGACGATTGTATGGCCCTGTGGACTGATATTGGCTCAACATTTCAAAGTGTATTCCTTATTCCTTAGTAGTCTAAATGTTGGCAAGTTGCTAACTGGTAACTAGCGTGATGAAATCCCGGAGTCTAGTTGACCATGAGTGGAGGCAAATAAAAGAGATTAGGCCTCTGTTTGATTATTGACAAGGCTAGCAAGTAGACTAATTTCGAAGTGGTATCCCGAGATCGGCAGTGGCAGTGTTGAGTGTAGTTCTCTTGCCATGTTATTCACTTCAAATCCAATGTCTACCGTAGTATAAGGTACCTACTCTTTTTGGATAAGATCTCTGACTTCAAGAATGAGTGAGTAAATTCATATGCAAGTTAACAGGGCAAGCGGGCCTGTAAGGTATCTCACATCCGTGGCAATCATCTCCTAGGGTGATGGTTCCCTAGATGATCATCACCAAGCCTGGAGTACGATATTGGATAAGCAGTTGAATAAGGCAAGGTACGTCAGCCAAAGTATGGTTCTGTCGAAGGCTCAACCATTCAAACTTCAAAAATAATGTTTAAAAGGATCCAAGTGGTCCGTCGAATTAGAGACTGGCTGGACGAAATGTCATCCGGAACATTTGATTCGTCCGCTTGACTTCTTTTCTTTTTCGTCACCGGCGAAGCTGGAGTCCGTGCTGTGCTTATTTTCCGGACACTGGACAGAGGCTGCTCTCCTGCTTCAGATACCATTACGAATGTGTCTTTCTGAGTCACTGATCGTGCGCTCAACAAATCCGTCAAGATAGAAGGCAGATGGCTTTTTTTTCTCCCTTGCGTTGTTACAGATGGGTAAGCTTTGGCAATCTATCAACGGCCGCCTCGGACTACCCCCATTGCTGAGCTCCATGGAACCTTAAAGGGCTGAAAGGCCTAGCCCGGATGCTGAGCCGGGGGTTCTGTTTTGGATACGGACTAGTCCAGGGATTTCATGGGAAGGGCTCTTGAAGTTTTGAGGGCGTGGCGGCAGCAAACTGAATGGGTCTGACTAGTACTGGATAGCAAGGTCGATACGTGGCTCACAGTCTAGTCTACAATTTTCGTGGCTTTGAACCAAGTTCAAAGACTACCCAGATATCTAATGCTTAACCAATAATCCGAACGTTTCTCGAGGGGTTTCCGTTATTGTCAACCCCTGCGTTGTGACTGGTCAAAGTCCGTGTTTCGACCGAGTTACCCCAGGTAGTACCTCCTCTGCCACAAGTGCCTCGTGTTGGTGGCTTCGCCGATCAATGACAATAGCAGTAAGCTGTGCGTTGATACTAAGGTTCTTGCTCATTGCATTCGCTCCTACGTAGATCCAGCCGCTTAGCCGGCAATGCTTTCTTTAGGTGCGCTATCCCAAAGCGGAGTCATCTTATTGTTGAGCCCTTCGTGTCGCTCAACCATCGCCAGATTTCACCATCGGAAAGTGGTTGGCTGAATGGCCATGACAATAAAGGCCAACTCCTTTAGTACTTTGATGAATTGAAGTACGCAGTGATCTTCGATTACAACTACAAAAGGGGCAGATCATCTTGGAATACCTTTTCTTATGCATGACCTGCACAAAATGGGGAGAGAAGAGAGGTGGATAAAATACCCGTATAACAACAAACCTGATCACCAATATTATTGCTATGCATCCTGTAGGCTTATGGAAGGTACAGCTAGGCGGCTCGTGCATTGCTTCCCAGCCGCCTCCTACATCTAGCTGCTTTGATGCCCGTTCCGGTTCGTCCTCGTGTGGCACTTACCATCTGAAACTGTGACATACCGCACACGCCATGTTTGCCTTGCAGGGGGCCTTTTCTCCTGCGTTGGACTATACCAGTTGCAGAGGTTGTCATTTATTAAATAGGATGCAGGTTCTTTTGGGGCCAGCAGACCCTCTTCTTTCCCTGTCCATGATGGAGTGGTTATGACTATTAAGTTGAAGCGGTCAAGATTCATAGGAGAAGATCGCAAAAACGCAATCTTTGTCACATCATCTTGCAGCATTAAAAAGCAGAGAGGTCATTTCCATGTTTCATTCGGCACATTGATTATTCCTTTTCGGTAAATGTCGACGCCATGGGCGAGTTATGACTCCACTGGCGCCGTTCAATGGCCAAATAATACCGGACACCAGAGCGACGAATATATCGTTGTCGACTTGCCATGGGAGAGACATTGAACCGCACTGAACGCTCAATCGGAAATTGTACGGAGTGCTCCACACACAAATGGCTGATAGGCTGCACACCCTCATTTCATCACCAACCGGTGAGATACCACCTTCGGCTTCCGGGTCGCTTAAGGTAGCTCATTACTGGACACCGGATCGCTTTCCAGAGTGGAGTTAGCCTAAACTTAGCAGCCATTTACCTCGTGTGCCCGTCACAGTATTTAAGGAGCCGAGCCAATCAGAAAGCATTAAAGGACCTACGGAACTGTTGCCGCACGGGAGACATGGAATCAGTCTCTGGCGTGTTACAGCATGTTTGATTGGATAAAGTAGGCTTTCGGGCTCCACTCACATGTGGTGTCTCCCACGAAAAGCATGAGGATTTCAGACACCGCCGCGCGCCGATTCGCAGGTACTACGAATCCACTTGGAATGACGGCTTGTTGAAGCCGAAGGGTGAGCAGTTTTCGTCATCCCAATTTCAAGAATGATTTATTTCTTCAAGTCTCGGATATTAGATATGGAGATCTAACAGTAAACCCGATAGATAGATCCTCCATAGTAGGCAGACGGTAGAGCCAAGTGCAGCACTCGGGGATTTCCGCGTGGTCAAGAAAGGGGCGCACATCTTATCCCTGACTCTTTGCATTCAACAGATTCAACTTCCCTTGTCTGCGCTTTTCATCCCTGCCTCAAACCTCGGTCTTATGATCTCTTGTCCACAGCTGCGGCCATTGCCTGGAATCCCCTGAGCACAACGGTCCACGTGGCTATGCATTGACCTTTGAGCTGTGGCTTTGGCCCTCGAGGTCCGAGATTCACAAGATGGTGGTAATTACCAATTTCCTCGTAAAGGATATATTTTCAAGACACTGCTGTGTTTGCTCTTATCTATCGACTGAGAGTCAAATTAAATTGACTGTTGTCAACTACTTGACATCCGTTGGTCACGCGACGGTCTGTATCTCAGTATCCTTGCGGCCTTCTCCATCTCTCATTTGAGCTTTGATATTGACCAAGAGACACTACACTGCGCACCTCGCTTAGAGAACAAAGAGTGCAACATACTCAGGTTGCAGAGATGATACTAGCCGACCTGATGCTACTTGTTCGCCAGGGGCCACATCGGCCGTTGCTCTTGTCAGACGTCAAGTTGATGATGATCACTTAATTCCCTGGCATATGAGACAGCGATCCACTTCCTGGTCCCTGATGGCTTGGCTCTTCGGAATCGTTGCCGAATCGGTTTCTTATGTTCCATCAGTCCGTGTCCAATTCACTTCTTTTGGACATATGCACCGTACAGGGTAACAGCGTCACCGACCAGAGAATCCCTAGATCCTATGGACGACACTCCGTGGTTGGCCGGTGGCGTGCCATTCGGTGGCCCATCACGGTCATGCCGTGTCAACATCATACAACCAACCCTTACATCAGATCAATATCAGCACTAGTCTGACCTGTCGTTCGCTCTTTGAATTGCAAACAAACCTGACAGCTAGACTGGATCCCAGCAGATGCGTCTCATGTTTACGGAGCTGAGAGTGCAAAGCCCTATCGGAACTCGGAATGCAGGCAGCAGTAGCCCCGGAGCGGGCCATCTCTTCCAAAGGATCACTATCCGAGACATTGATACCGAATCTACTCACTACTAAACCAGATTCAGATAAGCAGATCACAACTGATGCCCGCTAACCTTGACTAGCCATTACCTGGAGAAAGTGGACTCCGAGACAAATTAATCCTTGAATATATTATGATTCAGCCTGATGGAGATCGTGTTTCACTTCGGATTACTCCGTACCGATACGGCGATACGCAGATTAGACCATTTCTGGGTTTCGAGTCTCAACGAGAAGCAGTAGGCTAGATAGTGACCAGCTGACCACCGACAGTCACCACTCACCGCGCACCCTCGGTTAGAACCGTGAGACAAGCCCCATATGCGTGCCATATAAGGCAGCATTAGTAGCATGCGATCTTATCATGGCAATCCAAAAATGCAGATTGGAGACAGACAGCGACCAGAGATATCATCCAGTTATTTTGGATTGATTCTTCGTCTTCTCCCACCTATCCATAATTACCTCCACCAACTTACTCAATCCCTCCATCTCCTCCTCAACGGCCAACTCGAGGGCCCGAGGATCGATGCTACAGCCCACGTAGACAGGGAGGCTCATCCGTCGGGCTAGGATCTTGGCGACTCGGGATGTATATTCCTCCGTCGAGGGGGAGGAGTATAACACAGTTGATATGACCGAACGGGGGTATGGCGCTGTCATACGTCATCAACTTATTCGAACATGATGGAATGCATGCATATCATCGTTTGAACAAATGCCAGCAGGATATGGGTTATATCTAGGCAGGGAAACTTACATCAGGCATGGCGTAGATGAAACTCCCCATCGGCTTCAGGGAGCCTCCGGGCTCGCCTGGTGTCGTAGTAGCCAGGAATACTGTGACGCACGTCTCTAGGATCGTCAAATGGACGTGTGCGGTTGTATGGAGTGCTTTTGGTAGTGGGAAGGAGATCTCTTGTGGTTTGTAGGCCGGAGTGACAAGTTCAGTGTGTGGTGCGACCGGCTGTGCTGTTGTCATGTTGAGAGTCTGAGAATTATTCTTGCCACTTGAATATCTCAAATCAAAGATATCTCCTGCGGTTTGGATGAGTATGGTGTGTGTCTGGCTAATCTGATAGAAATAGATATAAGGAAGGTGATGTTTGTGGTGACAACTGATTGTCGCCGATAATGAAGCACCGCTTTCTGGATGTTTCCCCGCCAAACAGAGCGGGTCCATGTATTTCACCACTGCAGCTCCAGCGGAACGAGAGTTCTTCCAAACTCTAGATATCCCTACAGCAGATGTCAGTTGTATATCCTACTAGAGCTAGAAAATGCATTGAAGTTGCCTTGAAATAGTTATTGTGCTTCTGCAGGCTTGCGCAATTGGGAGCCAGTCCAGACTTCAGAGACGAGCATTTCCTCTCCATTTGGGGCCACAATGGCAACTGAACTGCAGCAAAATGATCATGTTGATGACTCGGAAGACATTCGAAGCTGGTCGGGGGATTTTGATCCCCTGGCAGACCTCGAAGAACGGCGGGTTCTCTTTGCTACGTTGGATTCTTTCAGGTGTGTGTTGCTAGAGAGAGGCCGTCAGAATCTGTGATCATTACAATTCGAGATGCTATGGCTTTGATCTTCCATCAAGATATCTTACTGCTATGCTATAACTATAATTGCTGACATGAACCAGGCAGTATCGGAGAACGGCACATATGAACACTACACATCGCCGCCGGCAAGCGTTTTATGCGCTCCCATCCTCGCACTGGCAGATGCTGGCAGAGCCACCGTTCTCCCTGTTAGACAATTTCAACCGCGTCGATGACGCTATCGATGTCAATGCCGACATCGCGGAATCGATTCTCGCGACAGGCCTCGCATCGTTCGGCCTACCAGCCGATCCGGATCCCAATGATCCACGGCAGAACTGGCACGGCATGGCCACGTCTTCAGATGTCAACAAGGCGCACTCAACCATCCGTCAGTTCTACCGCGACTGGAGCGCCGAGGGGGAGCCGAGAGAGAGGTATGCTACGAGCCTGTTCTCCGTGACCTGCGCGACGAATTCAAAGACCGGCACTCTGCCGGGGACGAGATCCGAGTGCTCGTCCCGGGCGCCGGTCTGGGAAGACTGGTGTTCGAGATCTGTCAAGCAGGCTTCGCCGCGGAAGGCAATGAGATCTCATATCACCAGCTGTTGGCCAGCAGCTGGGTTCTAAACCACACAGGCGGTCCTCAGCAGCACGCCTTGTACCCGTTTGCGCTGCACTTCTCCAACCTCCTATCGCGCGAACAGCAGCTACAGAAAGTCATGATCCCGGACAAGCACCCTGCGACAGCGATGATAGAGGCTCAAGCCGGGGATGCATCGCCATTTGGGACGATGAGCATGTCTGCGGCGGATTTCGTCGTGCTCTACAACAATCCCTCAAATAAAGAGGCGTTCGATGCCGTGGCTACCGTTTTCTTCATTGACACGGCCCCGAATCTCATTCGCTACATCGAAACAATCCAACATTGCCTCAAGCCCAACGGTCTTTGGATCAATCTTGGACCCTTATTGTGGCACTTTGAGGACGGCAGTAACAAGGGCCAGGGCAGTGGAAGCGATCACTCTCAAGGCATTGGAGAGCCGGGGAATGTCGAGCTGACAGAAGAAGAGGTGTTTTGCCTTGTCGAGCGCATGGGCTTCAGCATCGAGAAACGGCAGTCGGCGGAAGACCGGCCATTGTGTGGTTATATCCAGGATCCGGGGAGTATGCTGCAGGACCTGTACCGGCCGTCACATTGGGTAGCGCGCAAGAAGACAGAAATCAAAAATTAAAGAAATGAAAGAGGATTCCTTCACAACGCACTTGAATGGGTTGCGAAAATCCACCTTGCGATCTAACACGACTCGGAGGTCAAGGGTCGATTTATTGCTGCTCACCACCCGTTATTTTTTACTAGTACGTAAGACTACTGACTCGCTTCAGAAACATATAACATTGATAGTACCTTATGTCAATATACAGCAGGAAATGAGTACCTGATGAATGCTTGAGCCTTGAGACTCGGAGACCTGGTAATCCGGATACGGTATCACACCATACAAAACACAGCATCCGTACAGATACGCGATTCAGCCGCAGACAAACCAGACAAACAAAGGGAAGGAACATGGCTTAGCAACTTTAGCGCAGTGGCTGCGTCGTGGCTGTTCTGTGATTTCCCACGAATCTACGGAGACATTTGAACGGTTTACTCGCATTGACAGTGGCATTGACAATAAGGAACATGATTGCTTTGTAATTTATGAGCTAGAAGCGAGTTCAGAGTTGCAAAAAGAGAAGGATGATTGATGGACCCTTTTTTGAGAGATGGTGGTTTGATGGAAGTTCTCCACTTTGGCAAGGCAGATCGCTCGTATCCTGATTCTCGATCCTCGGATTCAGGACCGAAAGTCTCTCCACTTTCTGTTTCAGGAACGGGGGAGTGTTGGATATCTGCGGAGAATTGGGACTCTCATGCTCGCTCATGGTGGTGACAATGCTTGAATGTGTATCGATCGCATTTTCTCCATATTAATAAGGCTTCTATCAAGACGTGTGCTACTCATAAGTGGTAGGATATCAGGCAGATTCTTGGCTGGTGGTTGAGATGTATGGTACTGTACAATACATGACAATACTGGCAACCAAGGGACACCGAGTCGGGCCCGGATTCCCATATCCATGGCGAGGAGAGCTGTCAATCGCATTGCCCTCGACTGGAAAAGAGATGCTAAAGATAGAAAATATTACCATCAAACAAAAGGACTCGATATCTGCAAACTTGCAGATAAATGTCGAAGCAGAAACTGTGCCACTGCAGAGGACATATTCGCTGCTGCGTTGCTGGCCAAGTGCTGAAGCCATAAGCCAAATCAGTAACAATAAGCATCAGGATCATTTGCATCTCATCTTATTGATTCATAATAATCATGTCCAACTTACGATTCAATCAATATTGATAAAGCATATCGCCTCTGTTAGCTTTGATGATCCAGCAGGTCAAGTCTTCTGTGACGCCTCAACAGTCTCAGCCTTGCCCCATGCAAACTAAATCACGACAGTTGATCCCTTGATTCCATTCATCCAGCCTTGCTCGTGTTCCTCCATCATTGTCATTCTTCCTCTTCCTCCACCCAAATTCTGCCTAACCCATCCAGATTAGAAAGCTAAAAAAATTCTTCAAACAAAGGAGTTGTTTGTTTCATCCGCCCTTTGCAAGCACTGGCTTTCCTCTTTCTCCATCATCGGCTGACTCGGTCTCTTTCATTGTGTTCCTCTTCCCCCTCTCTCCCGCCCTTCTCCTCTCCCTCGTCCTTCTCCTGACCTCCTTCCTGTCTCTTCTTTTCGGATTGCCTCCGTCACAGGTCATTTCACATGGACCTGATGAGCTCACGATTCAAATCCTTCGGCTTCAAACGCAATAAGAACAATAGTAGCGTCTCCGTCTCCGCTACCCAAGTCGCCAGTCCCAGCCCATCCACCCACACTCTCGTCGCCCCGCCTTCAACCGCCACTTCCCCCAGCTCTCCGCCTTCTGGCCATAGTTCCTCATCGACCAGTCTCCCCATGAACAATCAAAATACATTGGGTCGTCCTCCGAGTTATACTTACAACACCGCGGGGCGGCCAACCAGCCCCATGCCGCCTGGTCAACAGTTGGCTCATCACCCGCCCCCACTGAACACCAACGTGCAGTACGGCCATCAGCCTGTCCAGCCCATGGGCGCTCCGCCTGGGTATCCGTTGCAGCAACCTGTTCCCCATGGAATCCCTCCTTCGTTGCCGCAGCCTCAGTATAACGTACGGAACCCCGCAGTCGAAGTCGAGGGTGCTGGTCGGAGCAAGGCACAACTGATTGTTGGTATCGACTTTGGTACAACATTCTCCGGTGTCGCGTTCGCCTTTGCGACCAACAATGAGGCTCGCGAAGATATCATTACAGAATGGCCCGGAGCAGGAACGCATACCAAGCAAAAGGTGGGCGCTTAGAGACCTGCGGAGATTTCGCCTGGCGCTTGTTGTTTCTGACTATTGAATTAATCTAGATTCCTACCGTCTTGTACTACGATCAATATCAGAAGGTGGTAGGCTGGGGCCCGGATATTTCGGAGGCTCTGGCACCCACTGGATACCCGAAGCCCGGCGTGCAAAAGGTCGAATGGTTCAAATTACAGCTCATGCTCTCCGGCAATACTTATATCGATCCCATCAACCTTCCGCCTCTTCCTCCCGGCAAATCGGAAATCGATGTTGCAGCCGATTACCTCTTTAAGTTGCGACAAGCGATGCGGGCGCAATTACAGAAGACTCTTGGTGAAGTGTTTACTCGAGAAGAGCGCAATATCCGATACTATCTCACCGTGCCTGCAATCTGGAATGATGCGGGGAAGGCAGCAACCAGGGCGGCGGCCCTGCAGGCTGGATTTCTGCGCGACGAGAACGATAACCGCTTGACGTTGATCTCGGAGCCCGAGGCTGCTGCGCTGTTCTGCGCGAAGACCGGTCTACTTCAGCTCAAGGTCGGGGATGCGATTCTGATTGTGGACTGCGGTGGAGGAACAGTGGATCTGATCGCGTACGAGGTCGAAGAGGAGCAGCCATTCAGCGTAGCTGAGTGTACGGCGGGATCGGGAGATTCGTGCGGTTCGACGGCTCTGAACCGGAATTTCAGCAACATCCTGCGGGCCAAGATTCGCAAGATGAAGTTGCCCGACGGTTCGAGAACAGCCGGAAAGGTGTACGCAAAATGCATTATGGACTTTGAGAACCGGATCAAGGCCGACTTCCGTAACAATGGCCAGAAGTGGGCCGTGGATGTGGGTATCGAAGCAGACTTCCCCGAGGCTGGCATCGAAGAGGGGTACATGACGTTTACCAATGAGGAAATCCTTCAATGTTTCGAGCCTGTCGTCAACCGCATTCTCGAGTTGGTTCGGAACCAGATCATCGCGATTCAAGCGCAGAATCGATCGCTCCAGGTAGGTTTTATCTCTGCGACAATGCTGAAATCACACTGACGATTTGGCAGAACGTCCTCGTGGTCGGCGGATTCGGTGCTTCAGAATATCTGTTCCAGCAGATCAAGCTCCATGTACCGCCTCAGTATCAGTCCAAGGTGGTGCGACCCATGGACTCGGTTGCCGCGATCGTCAAAGGAGCCGTGACCGCAGGTATCACTGAGCGAGTGATCACCCACCGAGTGGCACGTCGGCACTACCTCATGGCCACTCTTCAACCATTCAAGGAAGGCTATCACCCGGAACAATACCGTGTTCCCAGTCTGGACGGCAGAGACCGGTGCAAGTACACACGACAGATCTTTGTACAAAAGGGCGAGCGAGTCAAGATCGGCGAACCGGTCAAGGTCAGCTTTTTCCGACAGGTGGCGCCGGGAGCGACACTGATGTACGAGGATATCCTGTACGCCTGTGACGAGGATGTCTGTCCAGAGTACACCAAGGATCCGCGTAAGTGCTTGAGTTCTTATTGTGAGTGGTGACGTGGACTGACGTGAACGATACAGGTATCAAGGAGGTTGTAACCCTGACGTCGGATCTGTCACGCAAGAACCTCGAGACCGACTTTGAGCGCATGGACACTCCTCAGGGCACATTCTACCGGGTATACTTTGACATCTACCTGACACTCGACGGTAGCGAGTTCAGCGCCGAACTGGTTTGCCAGGGTGAGGTCATGGGCCGATGCCGAGCCAAATTCCGGTAAACATTACGAGGGAAAAAAAATAACGAAATGATATTGTCACGAGGGTGGATGGCATGGATCCTTGCGTGTCATGGCTATGATTTATATACGAGTTTGCTACTCGCGGACGGGACTATAAGAAACCATTGGCCGTTTTGGATGATCCAGCGAGTGAAGGATGCGGAGTCTATACCTTTCTCTTTTATATGGCATGTGCGGAGCCACTTGGAAGATTCTGATGCTGGTATATGATGCGGTCATGCCCCTGTTTGTTCTCTTCTTACCTAGATACCTCTATGATTGTTGACGACCTTAATTGAACCTGATATAGTATACATTTTAAGCCGAGCATGAGAATGAGTGCAGTATTTCGAAGGTTTGCCTAATCCTCCACCTTGGGTAGAGACACAGGTTGCACAGGTCAGGAACAGGGATACCCAGGCCACGCTGCAGACACCGTTGACAAACGTGGATGCCAGTCAGCTCGAACCACTGACATATATAATGAGATAATACAGTAGTCCGTAGGTGGATTAGCAGCAGTGGTCGAGTGACCTCCTGCCTCTCTTGCATGACACTGACTGTCGTTTGCACGTGTCGGCCATCCGTTCGCATCCAGACTGAACTGTCCGCGGGATCCAGGTCCCTGAGGTCAAGGTATTGGTGCAGCCTGCATCTACCGTCTAGTCTAGATTTAATGATGCGTCAGCAATGACGAAAGTCAGCTGATGCAAATTGTACCCATAGGAGTTGGAAATGATCTCCTCCCGGGGAGGGGAGGCGAGAGTCCCAAGCGAGAAGATTAAGTTATATGCATGCAATAATGAAAGTCTCTTTGCGTCACGGAGGACGCAGGACTTGGGTTTGCTTCACTCCTTAGTCGAAGTATCTTGATACTCAGATGGCTGATGACTCGATGCCGTGTAGACTAGACTCTCAGGGCATCATGAGTCCAATGACTGGATGACCAGAGGTGATGATGCGGAGAACCCGGTCAGTGTAGTCCTTAGTGGGAAGTGGGACACTCGGTGGCATCGGTGCAGTGCACGGACAGTCAGCCCTGGCTCTGGCTTGGGCTTGGGGCGCGGATCTTCAGCTTGCACAGCCTTGAGCTAAGAGCTAAGTAACCAGTTAGATTTCTTGGGGTCGTTTTGGACGAGGGATCTCTTCAGTGGTTGACAAAAGTAGTTGGTGGAGCATTGCTGGGTTATTGTAGAGCCTGGCCGGAGGAGTCCTCAGTGACGACTGACGACTGACAGCAGGCCCTTTCTATCCTGTGACCTCCTTTGCAGTTCGTGCGTAGGATCTTAGCCTATTCTATTATCTGGTGACAGTGGTTGAGGCTTTAAAGCACATGGTGCTTATTCCATGAGTTCGGTTCAGGTACCAAGTATGGAGTAGCTATTACCAGTACTGGCAGCCAGCAGTGACAAGCTGGCGGGTAGGCAAAAAAGCAATACTGCACTAGATACTTACAGTGGCCCCGTCTAGCAGATCAGCTCATCTTTAGAGTTCAAGGAGAATCGAGTCTCCTTGGAGCTACTGTAGTTAGCAGCTCGGTAGCCTACAGTAGTCAAGCAAGCCTCTGGTGGGGAGGAACAAAAAGTCTGTTAGCGTTGGCAGTTGGCACTGTGCAGTACCTCACTACGAGGCCACCAAAAAGCAATTGTAGATCAAAATGAGGAGGAAAAAAGAAAACATACACACACAAGAAAATTATTGACCGGTTCTGAAGAAAATGAAATTGGTGATCCTCCAGGAGTCAGACCCTCAACAATCCTCATCCTCATCCTCGACCTCGACCTCGACCAGACCCCAGCTAGGGACTGAGCTGCTCCACACGACCCAAACAATGTCGTGCGAAGGATAGCGGCAAGCGCGCTTTGCGCGAGATTGGTACTGGCGGTTGCAGCGCAAACCCCCAGATTATTCGAGTGGACCTGGTAGGCAGTAATATAAGTATCCTGGCAAATGATTTATTGATGATAGATGGTTTTCAATTCAATAACACCGGGTGGCTCCATAACCATAAGACAAAAATGAAAATCATAGATCTGGACTCCTCGCCAAGTGGATCGCTGCCAGGTAGTCTGCGTGATCATTATCCTTACCTTTCCTTTTTATAAAAATATTGGATGTAAGTGGTTAGCACCGCGGGGGTTGCCAAAGATCGTCTCTGAAACCATCCCATACACGTCTGAGTTCTCTGTACTTCTGTAGGCTGTGTGGATGTATAGGTAGTACTGACAAAGTGGTCGGAGGGATTATGTTAATTTTCCAGCAGATTTCTCAGCAACTCAGGGGAAATGATGTCGAATCAAAGGCACCCGAAATGTGTATGTTGATGAAGTGTGTGACCACCGACTTCCAAATCGGGTTGGGTCCACGCTGCATCCCACGCTTTTCATTTGTTCTCTATCTATCTATGTAGTACTATTTTCTAGTAATGCTAGAGGCCGGTAGTAATACTAATAATGATTGATGATGTGTGATGACCAACAAACATACCTGCCAAGTGCTGTAGCCAGAGAATCCTCTTTCGGCCTCGATCCTCGGTGGTTATTTTCAGTCGGGAAAGAGACGGGATACCGCTGGAATGGAGCCGCAGAGCCTGACCTCGATAGGCAGGGGGATCCTCCTCATGATGATTGCCCATTCAGCTCACGGGGTCTGGGATCTGGCGCACGGACTGTATCCGCGTGAGCTGCACCTGACTTGACCTACCAATGTGTAATCCCGATTATTTTCAGGATGACATGGATGAGGATATGCCAGAGTACTTGCTTAGATTGACTGAATCTCCTCACTATGGGTCTTGTCTCAGTAACAGCTTTGATAACATGTGTGCCTAGATACCTCTCTAGTAATGGAAATACATAGCGGCAGCTAGCTGTAGTGTATGGCGGGGAGACGAAGGTAAAAATCTCGACATGATTTTTCGTCTAGCGCGCTCCAATCATATCTCTCCATTCGTTAATCCAAGGCGTAGGTACCCACTCCTTAGTTTACTTGCTAACTTACTAAAGGATTCCCTGTGGAGCTTGCTTTTCCTACTTGCTTGGTTGGTTCATTGCATCGCAACGCAACACAGCGTGAGCTGAGTAGTAGTAATGAGAAGATACGGTACCTTACACTATATTCTCCTTACTATCTCCTAATACGTCTGCTGATCATGTGGATGCTGTCAGGTTCTATTTTGCTCTACAAAGGCAGCGAATTGCGGCTTTTGCGGGGAAAGACTTGAACGTATCATCGATCCAGTCCAGTCCAGTCTTGCACAGCTCCCTGAATCCGGAATGCTGGACCCTCTTGAGTCACTCGGAGTCAATCGTCTGACCAAGATGATCTTCTTCTGCTCCATGGGTCCAGGCAACTATAATTGAGGCCATTGCCCTCCGCTGAGAGTGGAGATCGACGAATGTCTAGTTGCCCGTGTTGCCCTGTCGAGTCCGTCCTGGATGTGTAGATTACACCAAAAGTCTCTTTAGAGTGTGCCCCTTCTTCCTGTTCTCTGCTTTCTTTCTTTTCTTTCCTTCCATTCTTCTATCTCTGTCTTATACAATTTGTTTCCCTATCTTGAATGTGCGTTGTTGTATACCATTGTCAAAGGCGATGAATAGCTTGTCATGGGCTGCCCTCTTCATCCTCCTCATCCCCCTTCTCGTCATCAAACTACAAAAAGGGCCGCTGGCATCATACTTTCAGAAATCTACCCAGAATGCAGGCTGCACTGATGTCAAGCGCATGGCGCCATACCCCGCCCAACCCATCAGAGGAAGGGAGCGATACCGGGTCATGATGGACATCCGGAAGCTGGACGTGGAGAACTGGCTCACCGTCGACAAGAACTACATGGACGAGCATTTTGTGCGGAGTCGACTGCTGCGGGAGGAAAGGGAACAGGTTCTCCAATGCCTGCCAGAGTCGTACGATGCGTGTCTCGAAGCGCTGGAGGAAGTGGTTGAATTTCTCTGCCAGCGATTCCCGCACGTGTTCGAGCGGAAGAAGTCCGGGGACGAGTCGACCATCCACAATCGAATGACGGGGGAAACTTTCGTCTTCGGAGGGGAGAACAAGGAGGTGGACCCTCTGGAAATCGCCGTCCGGCTCACCATGGAGGACTTGAGCATTCTGATGCAGAATGCTGACGGCGAGTATTACCTGTAAGTCAAAGTGCAGCGCTGACAGTTCGCCCCGACTGACGCCGCCGACAGAGCCGCCAGTGCCAGTCTGTTCCCCGTTGGCTGGACAGTCAAGGAACGAATCGGTTGGACTATCTCCCAGCTTCACAATCCTGTGCCTCTGTGGCACCAGCAGGTTGCCAATTCTGTTAGCAAGTAGGTAGCCTCGAATGTCAATTTCAAGAAAAGAACGTTACGCTGACTCTCTCAGATTCCTCGCTCGGCTCACGCCCACTTCCCCGATGGAGCGATCCAACTACTTCGTCGAGGTCAAGCGTCCCGACGAGACCCTCTTCGAAATTCTCTATCGTCCAACAACCCTCTCGGAAGACAACCCCGACCCGGCACCAGAAGACATCGTCATCCGCCGCGAGCGTCAGACATTTCGCCGCTTACCAAAAACAGGCACCATCGTCTTCGGCGTCAAGACCTTCCTAACGACGCTGGACGAACTGCCCATGCAGGAACTCCAGAATCTCGCCAAGGAGACCAAGAGTTGGCCCGACTACGTGGGCGAGTACAAGGGCCGCGAGATCTGGGGCCCCAAGGTCCTCGAATTCTGCGAAAAGCGCACGCAGTCACTTCCGCAGCAGCTTGAGTCGGAGAAATTGGACGTATGATCTTGATCCTTTGTAGCATTAGCGCGTTTTTCTTGTTTTCTTCTTCGTTTTTGCAAAACCAAACGGATGGGTGGCTCTCTGATTTCAAAAAGTCCTTAGCATCATCATCATTTATCTTTCCGTTCTGGGTCGGCTTTCTGCTTGTTTTTTGCGAATTCTTACGGTTTCTCTTCCCTTTCGATCTCGCTACGATCATGGACGACTACCATGATTCGACGGGCAAGCGTTCAACACTTTGGGAGAGACCTTACTCATGTCTCCTAGGTTTTTGTGCGTGGTTGTGTTACCAACGCTTCTTGAGAAATGTGAAGAAATGTGCTCTGAAACATTGAACTCGAATACAAGCATTCCTTCCACACTGACCATCCTCCGAAGAAAGTACGATAAGAGCTTGAAATAGTGTCATTGTATGCACTCGAAACTGATACTACTGTTCCTGGCGCTAAACCCGGTAAATCAGTAGGTACAACAAAGGTAGTATGTATAAAGCAGACGCAAAACAGGCCAGATGTGCTGTATTCGCCGAGTCTATCAAGGTTATAGTAAATAACGAAAAGGAAAGAAAGCAATGAAAAACAGACCTAGTCCGAATACCGCTAAATCTTCGAACGAGGAGGCTCATCCTGCTTTAATCGCACCACTCCCTAGAAAGACAAGAACAAGCATTAGCGGCCGTTTTCTTGCAGGGCAGTAGCCCAAACCCTAAATGTTAGCGAGCGCAAGTGCAATGTAAACGTACCTCCTGTGTACAAGTGGCAATTAGCGTCCCATCCCGCGACCAGATCTTCTGGATCGCCAGCCCCCGGCCCTCGCCCGCCCACGGGCTCTCCATCTCCATGAGCATCCACTCGTCCGCGCGGAACGCCCAGGGATTATGGAAGTAGATTGAATGATCCAGGCTAACCATCATCCCGACCTCCTTCCGGTTTTCCTTCGGTTGGCTCGTCGCCTCGCTCAGCGCGCCCTCCAGCCGCCGCCGCAGATCGGCCGCCTCCTCCTCCTTCAGCTCCTTGATCGCCCGCGCGATGTCCTCGTCGTCCAGGTCGGACGGGTTCTTGAGCGCCTGCAGTGCCCGCCGCAACTCCGCCGGCGACGAGAACCGCGGGATGTTCTGCACCCGCGCTACCGTCCCGACGAAGTAGCTGTCCGTGATGTAGGCCAGCGCGGAGAGGTGCGCTTGGTGTCCGCCTGCCTCGGAGATGCGGCCGCGGGCGCGAGCGAACCGTCGCACGCGCTTGTCCTCGGGGTTGGGCGAGTCGCCTGCATCACGTCAGTTCCAGCACCTCATATTAGTCCCTCCTAGCCTAGGAGAAGAGAGTTGCTTACGATTGACAGTCCCCGCCTTGTGTGTCTCAAACGGCCCCCTGCTATCCTCCAGCGAGCCTCTGGTTCCCTCCGCGGGGTCAGCGAGGCTCGGTTTGGGCGTAGCGTGCTCGAGGCGCTTCTTGCCGCCGCTGTTGGCCCTGCTGAAGCTCAGGGTTGTTGTGAAGATGGGCCGGCCGCGCTGCCGGGCTTGCACGGTGCGGGTGATGAAGCTGCGGCCGTCACGGACTCGTTCGACGTGGTACAAAATTGGGATCTCGGAGTCGCCCGCTAGAACGAAGTAGCAGTGCATGCTGTGGACGGCGAAATCGGTCGGGACCGTTCGCATTGCGGCCGAGAGGGACTGCGCGATGGCGGCTCCGCCGAAGATGCCGCGGGCGCCGGGGGATGCCAGAGTGGGCGCGTGTTGGTGAAAACATCCTAATCGCGTCAGTATAGATAGAGGAATGATTTCTGTGGAGAAGTCTAATGGCAGTGTGAAAGGAGGAAGACGTACGGGGCCAATGTCAACAACTGGGGTCAACTCCAAAACGTTTTCGATCGGCGCCTTGGATTCATCCAGTGGTGGGGGTTCGAACAGTGTCACTCGTTTCGCCATTTTGAACTTTCCAGGTAGCAATGTATGCTGCAATCTGGCGATAAACGGATAAGGATTTAGAAAAGGAGAAGGGTAATCATTATTTGAAGGCGGATGATGACGGCGTCCTCGATCTTCACGCGGTGCACGGGACTCCCGAATTGGAAAATGCCGAGGCATCTCCACCGTCTGGATGTGCCGACTTCAGATGACGATAGGCATCACTAATCAGTCCGTCGAAGGAACAGAATCGGCTCTACGGATCATCGTATTTATTATTATTGTCAACCAGGTCAGTCTGCTGGCGGTTTCACCTCATGGGTTCTATTAACAGGGCCCCCTTTTGACCGTTTATGAGTTTGAACTCCGACTACGGAGAATATTCCTTCTATTTGGTGAGGATTGTCAGCAGGATTGATATGACAGCAGTGAGGTTTAGCCGGAATTTCCTCAGTACATGTGCTCATCGTAGCAGTAAAGTGCACGTGAGTCCAGGCCCGATGAAATTTACAGGAAGAGCACGCAGCCGGGGCATGATTTATCCAGGCATCAAGCAGACACGACTGGCTCATATATCTAGTAAAAAGTAGTATCGAGCAAGATGCGATCTATTTAAAGCAGGTTCTATCAACATGACGCCATGCCGACCTATCCCCGGACTCGGGACTTGCGCTCGTCAATTCACAAGCGCTTGCAACTAAGTGCTAGCAACCAGGAGCCAGGAAGCTTGCAGAAAGTCCGAGGTCAACTGTCGCAGATATCCTCGTGTCTGACCAACGTATCATCAGCATGCCTGCGCGTATCAGCTTCACATAATGCATCTATCCACATGAGCTCATGACACGTATGGATTCCCACGCCATCAAATAAAATACTCCTCCCTCGGCGGCATATACCGATCCCACCCTTTCCCCGGACTCACAACCTCCGGCACATCAACCTTGAACGTCTTTTGTACCGCCTTCGCACTGGTCCTCTTCTTCTTTCCATTCTGCTGCAGTAATCGGAGCAGCTGCTGGCGCTGCATCTCCTCCTCGGTGAGTAGGATTGGGCTCGCAGAGCCGTACTGGATGCGCGTCTCGTCCGCGACGGTCCGTCCATAGATCCACAGTGCGCCTAGAGCGTAGAGAAAAACAAAGGCGCAGCAGAGGCTGACCACGATGGTTGCCAGATTGTTCATAGGGAGGATGTTGCGGCAGAGGATGTTGAAGATAAGGTTGAAGAGGCCGAAGAGGCTCGATGAGAGGCAGGGGCTGGGATACAGGTTAGTCTGTAGTCTGCTTCGTTGTTACACCTCTCTGGATCAAACATACAGAAAGACGGAGTAGAGGAGATAGGCTCGTTGGTCGATCTGAGCGCAAACGATCACAAAAGACAGCGAGTAAGCAACGCCGATCAAGACCATTGCGGCGATGGTCAGGATCGTCTTGTTGATCTGCGGGTTGTCTTCGGGCTTTTCGAGCGCGAGTGGAATCATCAAGTACCTGGAGTCTATTAGATGCTTCTTTCGTTTTGTGGCATTATTTTCAGGTACATACCCCACAAGCGACAGCGTCGATGCCATAGCCGCCGGGAATTGCCATACCGATCGCACGGTGTCGGTCTCTCGAGTCGGGCGCTGTATGGGTTCCTGCGACACCCAGAGCTCCTGATACTGCGAAGAAGACATTTTATCGGCGAGACATTAATCCCAAAATCTGGTATATCGGACGGTTCAAACTCAGAATCAACAGTAGCAGAAGCGAACGAGCGAGCGACAACAAGCGAGCGTGGGTATGTTATCGAAACATTATGATTTATACGGAGTACTCGTTTGCTAAGATTGAGCACGAGAGAGGGACGAGAGAAAGAAAAAGCTGAAACAGGTCTGATGGGGGGATCGTCAATATTAATATGGCTTAATATCTCTTGATCCCAGCAATGTCTACTTCGAAGACAGACTGAGGAACCAGCCACTGACACTAAACCGGCGAGATGAGCCTATCTATGCAGCTAAAAGCGTGTCACAAAGGAACAGACCACTAGGCGCACAGGACTATATTTAGTGACTCCATGCATGCTGCTACCTGACCTAGTCTAACAGGCTATCACTATTTTAATTATGCCGATCTGTGACGGTCTTTGTCCTGTAAGCTGACAGGGACATGGAGTGGAGAGGTTTGACTAGACATTGGATGCTGAATACCTTGAGCCCTCAGCCACGTTTCATAGCGATGGGGGCGACGATGACATCAAATGCGATAGATATTCAACTAAAATCGAGTGTCGATTGGTCCAACAATTACAGTGTTATTCAGTCTTATCTATCGTAACCACCAAGCTCTGTATCCACTTTAAACCCGAATAGAGTCACGGATGATCCGACAACGTCTCCACATCCAGATGCTTGGTTATCAGATGCAGGTCAAACTGATCAGGTACCTCAAAACTATCTCCGCATGCCTCTGTTATTAAATCTCTTTAGACACTCGTCAGGGAATCGATACCCACCTAATACGATTATCGGCTTGTTTTGTTACTCTTCCCCCGGCGGATTCGATGAGCGATTTCATCCTGCAGAAGTAGACACCAGTGAGGAGGATACAAGATAGACATCCACTTGGAGAAAGAGAACAACTCACCGATCGATATCCGACTCACTCGTGTGGTCTTGTAGAACGAGCTGGATACGTCAGTCCTCATGGTCCGACTCTGCACTCGACCAACGTGGACAGTGGACAGCTCACTGTATGTAAAGGCATTCTGCAGTGATCGACTTGGAAAATGGGCGCTAAAGTCACCTTCTTTCTCAGGATGTGAGTGGCAGAGGCAAGTACAACCTACGTCTTATATAACCCTCTACGTATCGAGACCAGAAAGTCATCATGATATCATGTTGACTATATCGACCCTTCTATTCCGACGAGAAGTCTCTATCAAGGTCCTCTCCGTCTAAACTAATCCTGTTTCTCCAAAGAGAACATGTAATTCCTCGTCCGGAACTTATTCAAATCCAGGTCCTCCTCTGGGATATCATACCTGCCAGAGTAGCCCTGTAAGTCTGCATAGAGTACAGAGTAGACTCGGTATCTTACACATATGCCTTGAGGAGCCGCTCCTCTCTCACGAAAGAGCCACCGTGAGATTCAATCTCATTTAGAACTCTGCGTATAATCTGTCACTATCAAAACTTTCATGTAGAGTCCAGGACATACTCCTTTTTATTTCCTACCGTCACCTGCGGCGGGAACTTGACCTGTTTTTCAAGAATCAGCGTCTGCGTATTGGCTTTGTTGTCGGACTCGAGGGTACAAACCAGATACTGAGGCATGATGGACAGATGGCAATTGCATGTATTGTTGACACTCTTTTCTGCATATAGACGCAGTCATAGACAGGTTGATGAATATAAGAGCGCAGCTCTCGCAACGATGTCATCGTGGTATCATCTGCCCATAGCTCGGCTCATGGCAATGGGGGTTGCATCATGGTGGAAGCATTATCCGTGGACTATTATTGAGGCCCGGAAAGGCGGTAAATGTATCAGATGAGCGAGAACAGAGAAGCATAGTCAAGGACGAGACTGTGTATTTGCTAACTGGTGCTCTTCATGACCTCGCTGGGGCCTGTTAAAGGACGAATATCTTTCAATACCTATGTCAGATAAGGCCAATGAGCCTCATATAAACGGTCAATACTCCCTTACCATGAGTGGAGTGAAAGACGCCTAATTTAATTTGCAGGAGACTAGGCTCATACATGTGGGAGAGGTTAGTATATGGTACACATGCTGGATATTCGAATATTATACACTACTAATACAGTTCGGGGAAGCACACACGGCGCTTCACCAATGCTGGACGACATTACGTCCCTTCCTGTCCTCGCATTCGCATCGACGATCGACAGCATCCACAGTGGTCCGTCAAGACCGACGTGAAGATTGAAGCTGATGAAGCTATCATCTTCGAGAAAGTCCGTATTTGTACACGTCCGTGTCACTGTAAGCCAGATCGTGAGTAGATCTCCAAGAAAATCGACAAGAGAAAAGGAGACACGTACAAGTGACTTTTGAGGCTCTCTCTTCCTTCTGCCCTGGCATTCACCCACACACTGACGCTCATCTTCGATACGGGAAATATGCCGTATCCTCGACTGTCAATGGTGACCGTTCCGGAGTGCCACTCGAGGATATCCGTCCACTGCTCTCCGGCATGCTGCTGACCAACGAACATGCGCTTCTGCGATGGGCCGGCGTTGCTCATGATACAAGCTAGACCCGACGGATGCCGCCGGTTGCCGTAACGAATAAATCCTATTTGTCTCGTCAGTCCGGTGAAAATAAGAGCCAGAAGGGAGGCAGTGCGCACCGATGCAGTTCCTCTCGTCGAAATAATCCCGCTGTTCTCCGTACGCGTAGAGCTTACGGGCTTTTGTGAGAATCGGAAGCCTGCCTCCGCACGAACGCTTCGCTGGATGTTTGCCTCCCCTGATCCCGTAAAGATCGCCCCAGAAGACACAGGGTTGTCCTTTATTTTGTAGTAGGATCAGAGCATATGCTAATGGCTTGAAGAAAGATGCGACTGGTACCTATTTACAATTCGTCAGGATGGAACAGTCAATGTAGACGGTGACAATGAAACCATACCTCTAACATTTGGCCTGGTTGCTTTACTTTAGGTCAGCATATGCTAAGACACTGAGAAAGGGAAGTGGATTTCTTACTGTATCATGAGTCATGACAAATGTCTAGACGGTCAGTGTGAAGAGCAGTCAGGACACATCTAGGAGAACTTACAATGGCATGTTGAGGTTTGCTCTGAACTAATGTACCGTCGAGAATTCCCCGCAGGTCCGCTTCTGGGGTCAGGGAGATTTTCGAGAATCGGTCAACCAATACGGCATCATAGAGATGAACTCGGTGTTCCATCGCCTCCAGGAAATGCAGGAGTTCTTTGAGATCGCAGCGCCAGTATTCCGAGATTACGAAGAAATCAGGTCCTAGAGTCTTCCGAACATGATCGACAAAGTCCCTCTGGAAAGCAGCCGACATGTGTTTCGCAGCGTCTAGCCTCATACCGCTGAGAGGCAGTTGAGTGCTGATCCATTCGCCCCAGTTGAGAAGGTCTCTTCTGACCTCAGCATTAGAGAAATCCAGATTTGCGAACATCAGATAATCGTAGTTGCCGAACTCGTGGCTAACATCGTTAGCCCAACCCTTGTTCGGCCCTGCAATCTTGTAGATCGCGTTCTTCTTTTGCGATTCGTCCCAGTCAACGCCATTGAAATGGTACCATCGATATTTCATCGAGCTATAGAAGTCGCCGCGACCTGGGAAATCAAACCCCACCCACCCCTCGATCTCCTTTGGGCGCGAGATCTCAACATCTCGTCCTAACGCGGTATATCAGATATCTGGTTAACCAACCTCTCCACTGAAGGGAAACATACTTTCCGAGTCTACTTGGACAGCCAGGAATCGTTCTGTGAAATCTGCGCCTGCTTTATGGTTGAGAACAGCATCCCAATGAACGCCAACACCGAGGTCTCGAGCGGCTGCGCTGAGCTCTAGGAGCTCTTCCTTGGTTCCCCATTTCGTCGCTCGTGATCCTTTCTGGTCGAATTCGCCCAAGTCGTACAGATCATATACGTCGTAGCCATTTCCACAAGGATCCATCCCCTTGCATCCTGGAGGTATCCATATGTTGTCCACACCGATCTCCTTGAGACTCGGTAAAATGTGCCGTAGACGGCGCCAGTGAGCTTGATCAGCTGGCATATGCCATTCAAAAGTTTGCATCAGAAGCAGATTATCTGGTGCATCCCAGGACGGGAGCTGATCCAGGCGCCTCGCTTCCTCTAGTACGGCATTAGCGCATAGCGCAAAGGAAGAAAAAGGAACGCAGACCTTCGATTTCATTCCATCTCTGCCGCTCCTTTCTTTTGGTTGGGAGGCAGCTAGAAAGAAAAGAAAACATTGGGAGATCTGAAGCAATTGAAAAGCAAATCTTGAGAAGGGAAGCTGAGTTGACAGCCGCGATTTAAAGCTTATATGTTTCGGAGTGGATGAGGAAATAGGGTGATTAAACGAAGATATAATGCGGCCCAGTTTGTTTGGAAACACAGTATCGCATCAATGACGAGGTGGAAATATGAAAGTAATTATATATAGGTCATGACAATTACTCAGATTTTGCCAATGCCGCTAGTCTTCAAGACATCATCAGTCAAATAGTTTTAGCGCAACGATACAAGAACAAACAGAACACACGGTATTTTGTGCAAGTGGACTCGTGACAAATGGGAGGCTATGTGTCGTGGCAGCGCCTTGATACCTTTTCTGCGCTCTTCGAGCTATAATTTAATAGATGTTTCGAAGAGGAATAAGGTCAGGATTTCGATTATAGGAGCTACCTAGATAGGAGAACTGTCAATTTTTGGTAAATTGATACCTGAGGCCTCTTACATTCCAAACAAAGCCACTCCTCCTGGATCGAGAACCTTGTGCCTGACCCGCTTTGAGCCTGAGGGTGGCTAACCGCTAAACGGCATTTATCCGAGTGAAATCAAGCCAATAGGAGACCGGGAATCTCGAATTCACTCTTGGCCGCCTGAAATAGAATCCGGCCATCTGATTAGTGGATTCCAGGCGGTCACTGAAGAATTTTTGAAGAATTCACGCCTCAGGCTCATACAGAATTTCACAGAGACCCGACTCGATTGTGGACTTCCAGTCTTGACAGACATCCACTTTGAGCGCCGTCATGAGCATATATTGGTTGTTGAAGATGAGTGACGACATCGCTGTTTTTCCCAGTCAAATTCTGAAGAAAGGAGTGCTCAGGAGGTCACATTCCGCCAAACTGAGCGACCGTCTCCCTTGATCTACTGTTTACTCTGTGGATGCGACCAATATAGTCTGTAAGCCAGAGTAGTCTCGAAGAGAGCACATATCCCAAGCATATGTCAGGGTGTCAAATTCCTCTGACTGGAAAACTCAAACATCTCTGTTGGTTGTGCCTCTGGGATTCCTGGATACTTAAAGAAGTTCTTGTATGTTGGCCGGGCGATCGGAGTTAACGGTGGCAAGTGGTGTTCGTGCTGCCGAGCCATGCCCGCATTGGCCCGCGAAAAGTTTTCGGGATCGGTGCCGCTAGTTCCCAGTCTGTGCTCCCAGTCTCCCCGATGAGAAATCCTTTTCCCTTCAGTTTCATATCTTCCCTCCTCTCTTCCCTTTTCCCTTTCCAAACTCTGCAAAGCTTCAATTGCTTTCGTTTATACCCATCCCCACTCTTCGTCATCTTTTATCTGTATCCCTCTTTCTCCATCCTTCTTCTACCCTTGTCTTGTTTATATCTTTAGACCTGCATAGATACTACACATAATTCACAATGTCCGCCGCTGCTCCCACTACCGGCTCTCCCAAGCTCGACGCCGTCGTCGAGAAGGTGGCTCCTGCCACCCCTCAGATGAGCGGCTTCCAGCTCTACTCCAGATTCGCCTTCGCTGGTGCTGTCTGCTGCTCCGTCACTCACGGAGCCCTCACCCCTGTCGATGTGTAGGTCCTACTGTTCAGCCTCACTACCCCCAAATCGCATCGATTGCGCCTAGTCCCGAAACCCCCGGCACGCTTTGCAGTGTACATCAACTGAGTACTGATGTATCTCTCTTTCTCAATGCAGCGTCAAGACCAGAATCCAGCTTGACCCTGTCACCTACAACCGTGGTATGATTGGTGGCTTCAGACAGGTCATTGCCAACGAGGGTGCTGGCGCTCTCCTCACCGGTTTCGGTCCTACTGCCGCCGGTTACTTCCTTCAGGGTGCTTTCAAGTTCGGCGGTTATGAGTTCTTCAAGCAGCAGTGCATCAACCAGCTCGGTTACGAGACTGCTTCCAACAACAGAACCGCTGTCTACCTCGCTTCCTCCGCTGCCGCCGAATTCTTCGCTGATATCGCCCTGTGCCCTCTTGAGGCCACTCGTATTCGTCTCGTCTCTCAGCCTACCTTCGCTAGCGGTCTCCTGAGCGGCTTCGGCAAGATCCTCAAGAACGAGGGTATCGGTGCTTTCTACTCTGGTTTCGGTCCTATCCTGTTCAAGCAGTAAGTTGACCAATCTCGACCAATGGAGTCGCCTGGTGGTTTCTAATTGGTAAACTTCAGGATCCCCTACACCATGGCCAAGTTCGTCGTCTACGAGAAGGTTGTTGAGGCTGTTTACCGCAAGGTCGACAAGAACACCGTTTCCGATGGTGCTAAGACTGGTATCAACCTTGGCTCTGGTCTCATTGCCGGTTTCGCTGCCGCCCTTGTTTCTCAGCCCGCCGACACCATGCTCAGTGTGATCAACAAGACTCAGGGCGCTCCTGGTGAGAGCACTGTCTCCCGTCTCATCAAGATCGCCAAGGACCTTGGTATCCGTGGCAGCTACGCTGGTATTGGTACTCGGTAAGTCTCGCTGTTGTCAATTCTCTTGCGATTCAGGATACAGTAGCTGATGTGCCCATTCTCTAGTCTTTTCATGGTTGGTTCCATCACTGCCGGTCAGTTCGCCATCTATGGTGACATCAAGCGTGTCCTCGGTGCCACCGGCGGTGTCGAGATTGGCAAATAAATTAACGACGTGACGCCTAACTGCGAACCAAAAATGTCTGAATTCGGTCAATGTCCAAATCTTTTATACGGACCGTGTTAGATTTGATGATTTGCCGTTAAACAACAAGCTGCAGCCCACTTGAGACTCGCCAAACTCGGCAGATGACATCTACTTTCCTGTCTCCGGTCCAGTGTCTTCACAGCATCATTGTATTTCACATTGTCTGGAATGTAGTATAGAATTGAATAGACGCTTTTTCCTTTGTTCTATCTTCGGAGATCGGCGGCATTGACTTTTGATTACTTACTCCCTCATTAGCACTTATTCATCTCGATCACCTTTTCGAATACAGAAAGTATTCTTTTCTCGAACCATCTCAATAGAGTCAGAACGAAGCAAAGAACGAATCGGATTATCCTTTTTGAAGGGCTTATCAAGGCATCCTGAGAGTCTTAGACTATGTCGCAGGCATTAGCAGGTCACAAATCTGTATCATAATTAACCAGTCCATCATCGAGTGACAATATTCGGAAGGAGAAAAGTAGACTGCACACTTTTTCGATCCTTGGGCGAGTGGCATTAAACAGGAATGGTAGATGTTCCGTAGGGGTAAGCCTTGGGTACGTTGATGCCAAGCCAGCGGATCTTCAGGCACTCCGTCTCCAACGCCTCCCCGCAAGATCACCGTCTTCATTCATTATTAATCCCATAAACTCATTGTTAAAACATACGGCACACTCGTTTTCTGTCCATTAGTTTTCCCAGATGCATATCTGACATAATCTCTGTTTCTCTTCCCTTCTCTCTTTCTCGATATCTTTTTCTTTGCTCGCCTATATACCCAACCCTTATGACCTGATTCTCACTTGTTCGCCATGTCGCCTCATCTCGGTCTCCTACAAGTCCTCTCCTTCCTATTGCTTCTTCTCGCAACACAGGTAGCAACGGAACACACTTCAAACTGGGCCGTTCTCGTTTCCACGTCTCGATTCTGGTTCAACTACCGCCATCTTGCAAATGTACTCTCACTATATCGCACCGTCAAGCGGCTGGGGATACCCGATTCGCAGATCATCCTAATGCTTCCCGATGACATGGCCTGCAATCCTCGAAACGCGTTTCCAGGGACGGTCTACAGCAATGCCGATCGCGCAGTCGACTTATACGGAGATAACATCGAGGTTGACTACCGAGGCTACGAGGTGACCGTGGAGAACTTCATCCGTCTCTTGACCGACCGACTGGACGAAGACGTGCCGCGGAGCAAACGCCTGGGCTCCGATGCTGGAAGCAATGTGCTTGTTTATATGACCGGACACGGAGGCGATCAGTTCCTAAAGTTCCAGGACTCGGAGGAGATTGGGGCCTGGGACCTGGCGGATGCGTTCGGCCAGATGTGGGAGAAGAAGCGTTATCATGAGCTGCTATTCATGATTGATACTTGCCAGGCTAATACGATGTACACTCACTTCTACTCGCCAAACATTATCGCGACAGGATCCAGTGCGCTGGATCAGTCCTCTTACTCTCATCATGCGGATAACGATGTCGGTGTTGCGGTGATCGACCGTTGGACATACTATGTGCTGGAATTCCTAGAAACTCAGGTGACAAGTGCCAATTCGAAGGCGACGCTGGGAGATTTGTTCGACTCGTACGACGAGTCGAAGATTCATTCGCAACCAGGCGTTCGGTGGGACCTCTTTCCCGGCGGTGAGCAGGAGGGCCGCCTGAGAACAGTGGTGGACTTCTTCGGTAATGTTCAAAATGTCGAAGTTGAGCATGCGAATGCCACTGAGCCTGGCTCTCTGAAGGAGGATCTCGTTGAGATCGCTCGACTGGTTGAAAAATGGCGCAAGCGTGATCGGGACTTTGCATCTCGCGGAGAGCCGCTTCATGAGAACAACACTGGTGCACTTCCATCCTCTCAATTTACAAAGGCTCGAAATGTCGTGCCAGTACGCATGGCTGCTGAATCTTCTTGGGAAAAGCGACTTGTTGGAGCATCGGTTCTGGGCGCATGCGCTGCAGTCTGGCTCGCTGGATCGATCTTGGGCAGGACCTCGGTTTGATCATAATAGCATCTCCGATCTTATCACTAATCCAATATACTTGTCATGACATTGTAGCGTTGTGTAGTTTATCTGCATCTATCCTGGACATTGACACCCACTCCGCGCTCTAGCAGCATATATGTGATCTTGTTGTGTCCTTCAGAATAAGCAGTGGTTCACAGCCTTGCTACAGGGGCTAAGGTGCTCCAATTTCCTTTTCGTATCTGCACCTATGGCCATGGATCATAACACGCTTGGATCAGACCATCTCTGCCAAATCCCACCATAAAAACTAGAGCAAATCTTCTCACACCGATATCAGAAATTGCCTTCTCTTCATTAGTTGAAAGTATCACTCTGCTAACTGCACCTCATCGGCCTGTGAACCTTTTGGTCCCTGGACTACTGTAAATGTGACTCTCTGTCCTTCCTTCAGAGATGCATAGCCGTGTCCCTGGATTGCTCGAAAATGCACAAAGACATCTTCACCATTCTCCCGGCTTATAAAGCCATATCCCTTTTCATCATTGAACCATTTCACGGTTCCCGTTTCTCTTTCGCTCATTTTGGTTCAACTAAGGCAGTAGATGGTCAAAAATCATTTCCAATTCCCAGGGGTATGAGCATCGCACTCTTTCGATTCAACAGTCAGGTCCAGGGTAAACTTCTGGGCAAATATTTGACTTGCGTTGCCCTCAGATGTGGGCCAGATCGAAGAAGCCGGTAGAACGATATAACTCAAAAGGATGCCTTTTCGGAGGTGGTTGTTGAGAAGCAAAGTTGATTAAAACCTTTGGCCGAGCAGGTGCCCGCACTTTAATATAAGAGCATTTTCGCATGATGTAATCCATTAGCATCTCATTAGTAACCTACCCTACAGTTGCATCAAGGGCTGTTCAACTATGCTGATGTGGTAGCGCTTCATTGGAAGACAGACATGAGCGGGGTAGAGATATAATGGATACGTCACATCACCAACGCACATTCCCCCAAGTCAGATACATGTTGGAAGGCTGACCCCTTCTTTCGTTGCAAAGTACTTGCTAGCATCTGACCTGCGATGGTTCATCGGCTGTGTTTGGTTGGCGCGAGGTCTCTTTACTATATGTAGCCATCTGGTTTCCTTGAACTAGGTTTCTCTGAAATATTGAAAAGCAAAGCAGGTTACTGTCGTCCGGAGCGTTAATACCTGTGGATATTTCCGGTGGTTGTTCTCCGTCTCATATTCATGTTCGGAGTGTCCGAACTATATATATATTCACAGCACCTTTGTTAGCTACATTATTCCCGATCTTGCCCTCCGGTTGCCTACGTATCGGTCAAAACACGACCTTAAAATTTAGAAAGCAGGCTACTACTCATACAGAAGGCGCCTAAAGCAAATACTATACAGCGAATCCACCATACAGCTGGGAACATCGACTGAAGTCGAATAATGTCCAAGATCTCCCGATATGGATATTCAAGAGCAGGCACGTGACCACGCGCTCCGCCTCGCGTCTCGCGCTTCGCGAGAAACACCATAACTCACCGTCCAGCATGCTGATTGCGAACCGGGCAACAAGCTTCGCGACCATTTCACTATGGTCTTCAAGCCATTCAAACCTCCTCTGATCAGGAAACAGCCCAACCCCTCCGTCTCTGATCCACCTCCGGCTAGCGGTGCCTCCGAACATCGCGAACCCCCAGCGAAGAAGCAGCGTCTGAATCCAGAAATCAGTGCTCATGGTGATTCGCTAAGCCGATCATACACACTTAGCCGCAAGCCTCTGCAGCAAGTGATCAATGCAGGCAGCTCATCCAGCGAGAGCACGACCGGTGATGATCCACATGGGGACAGATACTACAACGTGCTATGGTAAGTCTCTGGGTGCTTTATAAGCAATGATCAAGCTAACCCGACATCTGCGATAGGCGAAAACCGTCCACGAAGAAGAACAAGACATGGGACGGCGACGGTATCATCTCTGCCAGTGATGGGTATCTCTACCTACAGGATATATCGGGAAAGGATATGGGACGGGTGATGCATGGACCTCGGCTTGAAATAGGAACCGTACTCTCGATAGGAGGTAAAGAAGTTGAGATTGACTCAGAGATACCCAGGAAGGAGTACCTAGCTCGCAGGCCATTCCTCGAGAGAAAGGACACCACTGGCCCCGTTACAGCACCGGCAGCGCCGAAGAAGACGTTCACACCGTTACTCGGGAACCGAAGCGGTACCTCGCTTCTGACGACTTCAAGTCAGAAGAGCCAGGGTGGGAAGACAGGCAGCTTGACTCTACCCAATCCGGCATCTAGACCCAGTTCTATATACAAGAGGCCGCTACTAGAAAGCACCGTCGTTCCCGCGGGCCTGTTGGGAAGCCGGTTCCACGCCATGACCCGAACCAACCCGGAGCACTGGTCATGAAGCGACCGGATTCAGTGCCCAAGGGGAAGCAAATCGTTGACGTTGTCGTCGATCCGATTCTCTCCAAACACCTGCGACAGCACCAACGCGAAGGCGTCCAATTTCTTTATGAGTGCGTCATGGGTATGCGATCGTTCAATGGAGAAGGCGCTATACTTGCAGATGATATGGGCTTGGGGAAGACTTTGCAAACGATTACGCTGCTCTGGACTCTGCTGAAACAGAATCCGATTCACGAAAGCCCTCCGGTGATCAAGAAAGCACTCATCGTTTGCCCGGTGACCTTGATCAACAACTGGAGGAAAGAGTTTCGAAAATGGCTGGGTAACGAGCGTATCGGTATATTCGTTTTTGATGATAAGAGGAAGCGTTTGACCGACTTCACTATGGGCAGGGCCTATAGTGTTATGATAGTGGGTTACGAGAAGCTTAGAACTGTTCAAGAAGGCCTAGCAAGAGGTGCCGGAGTCGACATTATTATCGCCGACGAAGGCCACAGACTGAAGACGCTTCAGAACAAGAGTGGCCAGGCTATCCAGTCACTGAACGCCACAAAAAGAATCATTCTTTCCGGCACCCCAATCCAGAATGACCTGAAGGAGTTCTTTGCGGCAGTGGATCTGGTAAATCCAGGTATTTTAGGGAACTTCAAGGCCTTTGTCAGGGAATTTGAGGGGCCTATCGTGAAGAGCAGGCAGCCGGAGGCGACCAAGAAGGAAATTGAGAAAGGCGAAGCTAGGAATGAAGAACTGCGAGAGCTCACTTCCAAGTTCATGTTGCGCAGGACGGCCGACGTCCTGGCGAAATATCTGCCACCGAAAACAGAATATGTCTTGTTCTGCAACCCGACCTCCACACAAGCCAATATATACAAAAATGTGCTCGCCTCTCCAGTGTTCCAGTGTGCCATTGGCAATTCAGAAAACGCCCTGCAGCTCATTACCATTCTCAAAAAGCTCTGCAACAGCCCGTCGCTGCTTTCACCAAAGACCGGGGTTGAAAAACCCAGTGAGACCATCACAGCGCTTCTATCGTCCCTGCCTCCGAATCTTCTACGCCACTTCTCCCCTTCATGCAGCGCAAAAATACGAGTACTCGATCAGTTACTCCATAACCTACGCACATCAACATCAGAGAAGATCGTCCTCGTCTCGAACTACACCGCGACGCTGAATTTGCTCGCAAACCTGCTCACCTCGCTCTCTCTGCCCTTCCTGAGACTAGATGGCTCCACGCCAGCGCAGAAAAGGCAGGCCCTCGTAGAAGACTTCAACCGTCTACCCCCAAATCTTTGTTTTGCGTTTCTCCTCTCCGCAAAAGCAGGAGGCACCGGACTGAATTTAATAGGCGCAAGCCGCCTTGTCCTCTTCGACGTGGACTGGAACCCAGCAACCGACGTACAAGCCATGGCGCGGATCCATCGTGATGGCCAAAAGAGACATTGCCGGATCTACCGCGTCTTGCTCAAGGGAAGCCTGGAGGAGAAAATCTGGCAACGCCAGGTAACCAAGATCGGACTGGCAGACAGCGTCATGGAACACAAAAACAGTGTGGCTCAATTCTCAAGGGACGAGCTGAAGGATCTCTTCCGACTCGACGAGGCGAGCCGCTGTCAGACGCATGAGCTTCTGGGCTGCGACTGCGGCGGATTAGGGCAGATGGCTGGTCCATCGAGCAACGACACCAGCATCCCAGCCACAGATGCAGAGGACTCACCGCCCAGCGAGCTGTCAGACACGGATTCTGAATTTCCTGACATTCCCACACTCATCAAAGCGTCCCAGCTCAATATGGAAGAACAGGAGCGGCGGATTCGTTCGCACGTGCGTGATGGTCGCCGAACCGGAAGAAACAAAGGCAAACGAGGGAACGACAGCACGGGCGACGAACCAGCCAAACAAAGCCGAATACAACAATCGCTCTCCCATTACGTGCATATAGACCCTGGTTTGTTGTTCGCGGCGACGGACGGAACAGTAATCGATTTGCAGGCCGCACTTGATGACGACGACGTCCTTCTTCCCTTACTCAAAGACGAGGATAACAGAGTCTCGTTCATTTTCAAAAAGTCAAGTACTGCAGAGGCCAAGGGGAAGAGGCCTTCCTCGCCGGTGGTTGTAGAATAGGAGATTAGAGTTATACACTATGCGGCATAGAGAGAAGTATAGAGAAGCATTTGCATTGGCTCAGGGTTACAGGATCACACAAATATAATTATGTCGCGATGATATATTCACTCTTCACAATCTCTATGGAATTGGTACCTGGGATCATCTCGTATATCACACATGCAAAAGGAATCGCGATCCAGCAAAGAACAAAAACTGAAGGGGGTATGGTATACGCAATAAAAATTCGTCAAAGCGAAACAAAGTAGAGAAACAGAAATTTCAAGTATTATAGAAAAGCATCCGACCTGTGATATGACGAAATGAAGAAAACTGATATCCTCAAACGTCAAACATCCTAATATCTAAGCTTTCCAACAAGTCCAAACGTGTATGCCGCCTCAGCTTCACTTTTCATCTGAATCATATAGATCTTCGAAAATTTGCCAATGACACCACCTTCTTTTGGCATGGCTCCATCATTAGCCTCTGGGATAGACACGGCAATACCGGTCCGTGCGACACGTTCGAAAGCACTCTCACCCAAGCAAACATCAAGCAGTACTTCGCCACGTGTTTTGCCACGAACGACGATGCGCTTCTCCGGTTCGGTGGCCTGCCGAGGCGAGATGGATCCAGAGGTTGGCGGGCTACCTTCGTCAGCACCGACGCTAGTATCACTGCGTCTACTGCTAGATGTCCCTGGACGGCGAGGTGCAGAGCGAGCGGGCATGATTGTGAGTCTGGCAGCACCCATATCACGCCACTTCGATTGAGTCTCGCGTACGTACAGCCGGATCTTGGCGTTGGACAGGCCGATTCCATCGGCGCCCTTCATGGCAGCGGCTATTCTGCCGATGCCGGAAGATGAATGATGCGAACCAGAGCCGGCAGAGCTTGAGTGCAGGCTATCCTCCTTTGCGCTCCGAGAAGTGATGGACGAGCGCGAGAGATTGAACATCTTGCTTCCGGATCCAAATTTCTTCAAGGCCGAGAACGCGCTACTCATGGTTCCAACACTACTTTCAGAGTGGTCGGCTAGCGACCGAGGCGAATTCGACGCGCGGTAGCTCTTTCGGCGTTGGGGCCATCCGAACCACCTTCCAGTCTTCGTTGAACGTTCCATAGGAACGGGTTGGTTCGCAAAAGGGCCACGTGCGTTTTGCAAAGCAATGTAGGTTGGGTTGTTGATACGTGCCTGATTTATGAGACCATACAGCGCCTCGCACTCGTCTGCATTCCGAGAGCGGAACATGATATTGTTGCTCCAATTGATCTTCGATTTCTCAGTCGGAGGCGAACGAACGCTAATATCGATGGCTGTACCCCGCCGGATGGGCACCAGTGGTGTTAGCTCGAGGGCAATCAGTAGCTGTCCTTGACCTCTATGCTCTTCATCATCCATGCCCGACATGGCCTTGGAGCTCATTTCATACGCCTCGATGAGCCCAGGGCTGACTACAACTTTGCAGTCAGTGGGAGCTATAGCTTCCCATGTCCCTTTTTCGGACCATGCAAAGACAGAGGCAACGGCAGTAGAAGATTTTGCTGGTTGCGAAGGAACGGATCTATATCCACCCTGAGATGCAGAATTCGAGGGTGACAGCGAGCTGCTAGATGATGCGGCCAGAGTCGATTTGGCAAGGTTGTGTGCATCAGCAGAAGGTAATGAGGAAGCGAGCTCGTCATCAGAGTCACCATCCGACGTGTCCGACGCAGTGTAATCATCCGAATCCGAGTACATGTCGTAGCGTCGCACGGTCGACGTGTCTGAATCGGAATAGGTATCTGATGCTGTGGAAGGCTCATATTCGTGCTTCAATGGCGACGATCCACGCCTTCTCTGTCTCACATTGGTAGGACTGAGAACAGGCGTGTTTGGTAGACTCGGCCCCGTGGAGCTCGGTGAGCGACTGTGTGGAGGAGGTGGCGGAGGCTGCTCGTCGTTCGTTTGACTCGAGTCGGAGTTCGATCGAGAGTGACCCTTGCTTTTCGAGGGACTTCCTGGTAGACTGTATGAGTCCACAGGAGCGTATTCTTCGTCGTCCGATACCGAAGCCAACGACTCCGTTATGTAACTTTGACTACTGCCCTTTCTGATTTTGGGTATGCTGGGCAGATCCATTGAGGGCACAGACGATACTCGCGGAGATCCCTGATCAACCGTGTCTCTTATGGGAGTTTTTGGAGATTGCTGCTCCGTGTAAGGCTTCTTTTCGCGGACAACGACTGGGGATTGGATAGGGTTCTGATCTTCTTGACGATCCCGATGAGAAGTCGCTGACGCCTGCTCTTTGTCTGAAAGCGCATCTTTCTGAGGGCTTGATGGGGAGCTCTCTCCAGGTCGGTGAACTCGCTTAGCCTTCGATCGTTTCAGACCGGCTGACGCTCTTTCGTCAACAAGGGGAGTCCTGCGCGGATCACGAGCGTGGAGTATTGATGGTGGAGATCGTGGTGTTGAAGCGTAATCTGACTCGCGAGTAACTGCAGAGCAGACGGATGACTCAATAGCTGAAGTGGTTTCACAAACAGTGCTGGGTTCCGACAGGGACTCTTTAGGGGTTGAAGACCGCCGAGCTGTTCGATACGTGGCCCTTTCTCCAATAGGTATATCCACGCTTGTAGGACTTGGTGGCCGTTTTTGAGCCGGCGGTACATCGCTTGAAGGAGCCGTTTGCGCTCTTTGTCGTTGCTTTGCTCTCTCGATGAAGCTCTGGGTCCGACAGAGGGCTGGTGGTGGTGGGTTCACTCCCAATAGTTGAACCCATTCAAATGCTATATCCTCCTCATCGATCCGTAGCGATAACAACTCCTGCCACGCTTTCGTTTGTCCCGGAGGGCTACGCAACATGACCACAATCTCCCCCTTAAGGTCTCCATTACGCGCAGAAACGCACGCCAGGTCCATTGGAGGGAACAGTAGCCAACGATCCGCGTGGTCAATTTCACAAATCAGCAGATCCCCGCCCGCCCCGTTACCTGGGCCATTGTCTCTTAAAAGAAGCTCCGCCCGACAGTCTACGACCTGGCCTGTAGAATGATACAGAGACAGATTGAAGAAGTCACGGGCGCGGACGCGCCGAGACTTGTCGATGGCCACATCAGTAAGGGCTCCTAGAGTTGCAGGATCACGCGCGCGAGTCGAGTCGATACTGGCAGCGGATTCGTCTTCAAGTCTTGCCCGTTCCTCTCTTGCGCGGCGACGAGCTTCTGTAACCAGATTCTGATAGACCGAGGCTATCTCTTCCGCTTTAGCAGACGGAGCGAGCATATTGATGCCCTTGAAGGTTTTCGCAAGGTACTTGAGTCGCACCAGCGGTCGTTTGAGCAGATAAGCCACATCCACCTTCTCACCTTCGCTGTTGACCACGTCACCATTTTCGTCTCGAGCCATTCCCTCATCCAAGCTCTTTGTATCAGCATTCTGAGCAACCTCACCCTCTTCTAGAGGAGCCAAGTTAACGATAACGTCTCTGAAGCCTAATCGCCAGGCCCGAAGGTATTCACGGTAGACTCGCTGAGCTCCCTGGGCCCAAGTTAGCAAGGAATCCGAGTTATCTTGCGGGATTCGCTTATGCAGCGTCTTCAAACGCTCGATGGCCACACCCATATCGACTATCGGCTTAGTAAAGTTCAGCTCGTCTTTTGGATCAGTTGATGGTCGAAAGAGACCTGCCGCAATAGCCGAGTCTGACCTCGAGAGGACGCAAGTCAACAGCACGGGTATTACGCCGCCGACGAGAGTCTTGAGCTCGCGCATGTATTTCACTTCGTCGGCCGCTAACTCCTTGAGCAGGTCAGCGACGGTAGCATTAGTTGCACGGCTCTTGTTCGTTCGCAGGCTACGAGCAGAGCGTAAGCTTCTACTGCGCGTATTTGGAACTGAAAGTACAGACATGAGATCATCATGTGTTGTGAGTCGCCTCTTCAACTGAGAAGAGACAACAGGAAGCGAATTTGGGTCGAACAGATCTCTCTCCTCCGCATCATCTTTGGTCTGCGATGGTGTTGGCGCGGACTTGTCTTGAAGAGAGCTAGGTTCCAGTGTCTGCGATTGCCCATCATCACCTGCACTCATTGTTTCAATGGAGGCAATAGTTGAAAGTCGATGGAGGCCTGTGCTAGGAATAGGTCGTTTGCGGATAAGAGGAACAGGAGCGTTATTCCCGGATACCTCCGAACCGTCGGAGAAAGGCTGAGTATCTGTGTCATGATCATCTGCCTTCAGATCTGTATCACGGGTGGTAGCCTCCTTTGCACCTGATGATGATCTGCTATGCCTGGGTTCGCTGGATTTCTTCCTGTGGATAGGAGAAGAGTCATCTCTCAGCTGTTTCGAGGAAATTTTCCTCTCCTCAGATTTCTTTCTCTCACTGGTGGCTGAGCCTTCCCTGCTACGCCCATGTCGTTTGGATGTACTCCTCCTCAGACTCTCGCTCTCAGGGGACGGTTCAGAATCGGCGTTGCGGTCATGTTTGTCCTCCCGTTTATGCGATGGTTTCGCTCGGTTCGTCCTAGTGTTTAAGGGTGCAGGAACTTCCACGTCGGGATCCATGTCTTCCAGGAACGGATCAGAAGTACTAGAGAGCCAGGCCTCAATTTTGGATCCCCTAGTAGGAGCTGGCTTGGGAGGCTCCGGTCGCGCGAACATCTTTCGCGACTCATCCCGAATATGCCCGAATATACCTGCCTTAGGGGCTTGAGTGGCGCGCGAGACTTCGGCGGAGTCTTAGGGCCAGGGCCTCGCGCCCGCCTTCTCGAGAGTTCCGAGAAATCTGCTTCACTTGCTGCCCAATCCGCATCCTCCTCAGTCACTTCTCCCTTTTTCTTTGAACTTTCCAGCGGCTCCAATGCCTCTCCACATTGAGAGCGATTTGCCGTCCCTGGCCGCGAAGTAGACTTCGAAGACCCCCTCTGCTGCACCTCATCCTCAGTCTTGCTCTCGGTCGCCGAATCCACATCTCGAGAGGCTCGAGATTTCCTACGCTCCTTGATAGTCGAGTCAGATGCGCCTCCAGCTCTCTCCCTGTCGCGGCTGCGTGAGGATGGCGCCGATCGCTCTTCTCCATCCTTCCGACCTTCTTTTCGCCCCAGTCTAGGAGATGGTACCGGATCGTTGACTGTATACTGGGAAATACGCTTCGGGGGCGGTAGTTTCGGCGTTGGGGTTTGAGCGGAAGTCCGATTCAGCTTCCAATGCTCATCGCTGATCAGGCGTTTTCTGGGAGTGCTGTTGCTGCGCTTCCTCGTAGTATCCTTAACGGGCTTTGATTTCGCTTCGCTCGTCGAATTTTCATCGTCGTCCTCGTAGTAAACAACATCGGTGGCAGTGATGACCCCGCCTCCCTGCTGCTGCCACTTACGGACCTTCTCTCGTACAGAATTGGTGTCATATAATCCCAGGGGGACTCCAATATCTAGAGGTTTATATTTCGTAGGGGAAGATTTGGCGCTTCCCCCACGGTTGGAGGGGCCATGCGGAGTGGCGGGCGTCGACGGCATCGATGTCTGCTATGGTGAATGCTGATGATTAGCATATTTCTGCAGAAAGAAGCAGTTACCCGAGACATAAAATTGCTGCCACGAAATCCTGGAAGCTTAATGAGACGATTCGGTGTCGAAATCTGCGGCGAAAGAATGTTTTGATTTTTCCGTATTGTCTGAGAACCAGCAGCGACCCCAACGACGTCACGCGGGCCGCTTGTTTGTTTATCACGGGAAGAGAGGGGGAAAGGCGCACTCACTCACGGCTTGTACAAAAGCATTACAGGATTGGGATCTCAACTAGTTTGCGGAATTAGAGCACACAGAACAAACAGAGATATGAAGAATAAATAAAAAGAGGTTTGAATAAAGACCACCGTAAACAGGCGGTCAAATGATGGGGGCAGCAGACAACTGTAGAGAATGTTAGCTAGGTAGGGCTCTAGTCCGCTGCCGGCTGGGTCCAAGTGACGATGGTCAGCTGGGAATGATATTTTGCTGGGAGTACCTCTCTACTCACAAGAACGATTGCTGTTGATATGATATGGAAGATCGACTGGCCCTGGATTACAGCGATGTTGAACGAGTCCAAAGAAATGATCTTCTTCTCTGGAATTCGGCCGATCCAGAGCTTTCAGCGTGTGGCATACCTCCCGAAGTAAGGCTCTAAAGTCAGTAAGGTACTTCCTGATGCTGCCCGGGAAACGTGCAGGATCAGCGCTAACTTCTAACCAACCATACTAAGGCGCAGTGGTACGGAGTAGATAAACTAAAATCATTATCTAGTCTACCAGCTTCTCTTTTAATCTTTGCACTCGGACTTAGCTGGACTCGTTAGGCAGATATGAAGGAATCGTCGAGTTTCAGTTGTTTCAGTTGTCTCAGTTGTTTTGACGTAATTATCATTTATGTGTATATGCTGCCACGATTTGTATATCCACACCTAAGTCGAAGCCCAACCGATGGTTTGAACAATCCAGGGCAACACATTCATCATAGACTTTAATTCTGTATTATTACCCAAAGTAATTGGCCGCTACCTAATTATGATGGCATAGTACATGCGCCCTCCCATATATTAGCACTTCCTACTTGAAAACTATCTAGGAGGTAGATGTGCACGCGTCACCAAGTGGGTCGGACAGGTTTGATCTCGATAACCTCTTCAGGCACATCGGATCGCATTGAATTACATCCATCCATACTCCGATCAAATCAGCATGCAATGTAGTCGTATGATCCAACAGGGGGTCCGTTTGTGCCACGATGATTCCTAGAAAACCGTCGGCTGGGGTGGCGATCTGGAACATTATCGAGCCTTTTCGTCTGCAGACATTCGCTGCAAAGCTTTGATGGCATTGGAGATCATCTTGACACTCTGAGAAAGATAATCTGTCACATATATGAGTATGTATTGGCCTGAATACCCAGATTTTGGAACTTACAGAAGGGGATAATAATCCAGATGAAGTTCATGAGAAAGTAATAGATCCAAAAGTAGTAAGCTTCAGGCCGACAGTAAGACCGTCCATGGGCATAGTGATCGTATAAGCTCGTCGCATAGTACAATGTATCACCATACAGATGGCTCATGCAGACAATCAGCTGTAGTGGATGACGGAGTGAATGTTGGTTGAGGATCAGGTATGCTACGAAAAAGCACAGAGGGCCCCAAATAAACTGTAATCATGGTCAGTCGTCCTGAATGGGAGAGCCTCGTCTGCGTAGTAGGTATCATGGCACGTACCACTGTCATCGTCTCCAGGCACAGAACCAAGGTGTCCGAAGTCATATATCTCGAGTCAGAGAGCGCATATTCCTTCCACAACTGGCCGAGGAAGTCCTGCGCAGAAGCCATGTGGTCATGGTGGATTATGAAGTAGCCTTCAAAAAAGCAATGTATTGTCCCAGCTGGTCGAGCAGTTAGAGGGCCACTGTTCACTTATATATGCGTGGGCCAGAAGCAGGGATCTTACAGAGAACAAACCACAGAATAGCAAACCGGTCTGCTTTTGACAGACTTGGTCGCATGAAGCTGGCCCAAGTCAAAGTCCCTCCTAGAATGACAGAGGCTGCGATGCTGGAGGTAGTGAGAAGGCGTTGGATTGAAGTCTCGTTGGGAGCATATTCCTTAATATGCGCATCCAAAGGATAATAAGGATGAGAAGAGACTTGACTACTCATAATTGCACAATAGTAAATGCGCGAAGAAAATTGACCTTGTCTTCAAGTGTGGGATAGATGTTGGATTTCTGAGAGATTGAAGGCAAGGATGGGATATTTTGGCAACGTCTGATTTTGTACATTCACTTCATGTTCGTTCGCAACCTACCAAAAATCGCCGCCTGGCTTGAGAATCCCTGAAAAAACCGTATAATCCTCGATGGCGAGCTTTTCCGTGAATCTCAAACTATTCAGTTAACTAGGTATACCAGGTCCACCAGGATAAACAACTGGTGGATGCTACTTGCTCAACATAGCTAGCCTTGATTCCTCAGGCAGCAACACCTCCTAAGGACTCTCCACAACGTAACAGGTGCCCGCTCTGTTCTCGAATCGCGATTATCCTCCATCATCACCACTTTCATTGTCAGTCCTTTCAATCACTTCATGGAGCCTGGAAGCTCCTTGATCAAAGCGCATTGTTCCCATGGCTCCCGGTCCTTTTAGGAGAAAGCCTCTGGGGCTCGATGTACCCCGCAACCCTACTCCTGACTCGCCGCCTGGTATTGCGGCGCTATTCGTCATCCGCTTCGATATCAAGGCTGGGTGAGCTTTACCATCAGCTTGCTTGTTTCAGTGCAACTCTGTGGCCTACAGCGACTGACTACGAACAATGACCTAGATACGTAATTTCATGGAAACGTACCATTCCTGGAGGTAAGTCACAGTTATCATCGACAAGTGGGAGCCACTGAAGCTGACGTATCCGGGTCTCTAGTCGAGATAGAAGGAGTCGTCGAATACAAATCGCTTCCGTCCGGTCTTCATAATGTCTCTGAGGATCTAGTGTACGCTGAAGTCCGATTGATTGCCTTCTGTGTGCTAATCAATTGTCATTGCCTAGGTATTTCGTCCATGCACAGTACGCCGGGATCAGTTCGTTCGTCAACCAACCCGCGGAAGAAGCAGAGCGCAATGCGCAGATGTTTGCCGTCGGGGTTCTGGTCCCCTTGAGTTTTGGTAGACTCGGGAAGAGTTGGAGGCACGCTCCAAGGCTAAAGGAATTGGCAGAGTGGGTGAGATCTCTCATGGCTCGAAGTACCGTCTGACATGTTTGATGCAGGACCTATGCCAAGGATATGACAAACACTCAACCTTTGTCGGACTACTGGGACAACTTTGAGATGCGCGTGAACGATGCATCGACCATACCTGCTGATTCTCCGCTGGAATCACCTGTCAGCCTCCGGTTCAGAGAGCGACCGGACAACTTACAGCGTAATCGCGCATTCAGCGACGCGATAGTACTGGAAGCGTCTAGGCCGGCCCTAACGCCTTTCCATCCAGCGTCATCGCTTCCCGAATTTCTTGACTCTTTCGGTCCTTTAATATTCCCATTGTACAGAGCAGCATTATTACGCAAGCGTGTTCTCTTCATGGCCGAGGCGCCGGTCCATATACCCTGTAACTATGGTAAATGGATATTCCCCCCAAACCCCTTGGTCCTTGCTAACAAACGCAGTATATGATTTGTCGTTGTTAGCATCGCTACCGAATTACCTTCTTCCACTACTTCCACCTGGCGGTTCACTTCCTCCCCGACCTCACGCGCTGTTCAATATCGGCATCCACGATATACCCTACCTTTCATCCTTCGTGAACGTCTCTGCCAAGACTGAGCCCGACGCCGCTTGGATAGCCTGCAGCACAGACAGTGTGCTGAGTATGAAAAGCGAGCTCTTCGACGTCTTAGTTACTTTGCCTCCGCCACATGCCAGCAACGCAGCCCAAAAAGTCTTCCCTAAAATCTCCGTCTTGCCTAACCGAAGCGCGCAACATAACTCGTCTCAAGCAATCTACCTGAAAGCCACACAGCGCGATGCGCGACGCTACACCATCCTCCGCAAGGGCTTACACCACATCTCCCACGATGACACTGCATCTGGTGATGATGAAGACTCGGATGCTGCATCTACGTACTCATCCAGTCCGGTCGTCGAGCCCCTGTCATGGACACGTCTAGCCTACACATCCTTCATCTGGTGGGCATCCGCAGGCGAGAAGCGTGACGGACTCACGGAAGAAGAGGAAGAAGAGCGCCAAATTGAGCAAGACACGCGACTCCTAGCCAGCTTGGAAGCCATGCCGACCCCGTCCTCGGGATCTCTTGGCCGCCATTCCATGCAAGCGGAGGACACTTCGCAACCTCCCGAAATCGCACTGGTCGCCTACTTCCGTCGCCTGACGACCCAGCTCTTCGTTACGTTGTCGGACGTGATTGCCCGTCAGGATGGCAGAAACGGCGAACAGGATGAGGATGTCAGCGCCCCGTACGAGGACGAACCGGAGGAAGCGGACGCCGAACCCTCAATTTCCATTGGCAGGGAGGTTTCGCAAGGAGACGACTCGAGACGGCCCTTGCTGCCATCTGGGGCCAAATCTTCACCTGAGGATGACGAGCCGGTGACTATCACGTCCGAGGATATGACGGAGATGGGCCTCGACGTGTGGAGCGCTTCCGACCGTGTCTTTGTCGAGGAGTTGGTGCAGTCATGGTGGGGTCGCAAAGCCTACATTGATTGCGCGCGCATTAAGTGCTGTGGGATTTCGATTGTCTGATGAGATTCTTGACAAGGGCCAAGGGCCGATATCGATATTGTCATGGTAAATATTCATTTGCATTTTGATATATATGCAATGTTAACCTCAAGGGACATGTTCGGAACTTCAAATGACGGGAGAGGTATCTCATTCATGGTATTCGGTTGGGTTCGTAAGAAATTATGTGCTGGTAATCATATAGCCACTGAAGAAGGATTTTATGTACCATAAATATGCTTGACAAAGGAAAATGGGGAGACCATGCAAATCTCAGAATGAATGTGATGTTGCCATGCTGCGCTTAAACATAAGCAAACAAAAAAAGCATTGTCCTTTGACGCAAGGTATCGTAAGCCGTGGTTATACACCAGCAGGAGAAGTCCAAACCCAGGTCAACTCATAGCAATCCAAAAGAAAAGGTACTCCAAAAAAGCAAGAAGCTCCATTTAATTAGCCCGAGAAAACCCCAAACAAACGCCATCTCATTTAGACATCAGGGTATCAAACGAAGATCGGTCAACAATCGATAACAGCTCAAGTATGATGTGCTCCAGACATCAATGCACTCTGTTCACGTCAAGGAGGAAAGAGGTTTACCGGCGGAACATCCTGATCGGAGCACTTAGATCTCGTCGTACAGTCTTATCCCCGTCAGTTCTCACTGCCGAGTTCTGAACGCCAGGGATTCTTTGCGCACCCCGACCCGGTGTGACACCACCTCCTCCCGAGCGAAGGGTAGCCTCATTAGCACTGACAGATCTTTTCACTGTATTAGTCTTTCCTCTTCGTGCTCGAATTTGGGCTAGAGCTTGTTCTCTATCGATGGACGTTCCAGGCAGGGGAACAGAATGAGGAGCGAGCGCGCCATCTGATTCTGTAGGTGCACTGCGATTATCTTCGATGCTGTACCGTGGTGAAGGAGAACCCCAAGGGACTCTGATACGAGCTGGGGATGGTTGAAGACCTGGAGCGAAAGGTTGGACCGAGTCTTCTTGTTTAACTTGCATCATGGGCTCAAAGGGCGGCTCGTGCCGATTAATATGCCTTTCTTCAAAAGGACTAATGAGCAACTGCTCCGCTGACAGGTTTTCGTGAGAGACAGATGATTCGAGCCCGCTTAAAGCTGTGCCTTGGGGTTGTTTAGGAGGTGATCGAACTGGAGACGGGACGGATTTGAAAGTTCCCGTCACGGGCGAGAAAGTTATCAAGAGTTCCTCTGGTTGTTCTTGGGGCCTTGCCTGCTCCGTAGGCCCAGACCCCTGCAAGGGGTTGTCAAAGTGTGGATGATGTTGGGCTTCAGGGCCACGGATGTCTTGGCGGTCTTCTTCGAGGATGTTTTGAACCTCGTCTTTGGCTACAACATCTTCGCGGGTTGGCGCATGGACTGGATGAGCCTGTTCCTCTTCTTCTGCAAGCCTGCAGGAGCATCGCTTGAATTCGCACTCCATTCTCAGAAACTCAATCATGTCCTCGGCATCGAATCTCATTTTTCTCTCATGCTTGAGCGTTTCTTCGAGGTCATCGATTATCTCTTGCTGAGTGTTTGTGGATAGTGTAATTTGATCACCTTGCCGAGGTGTCACATCTGAAAGTCTTAGTCTCTTTGGAGGAGTGTCTTGCGCCGTAGTCTGATCTGTAAATTCCACAAGCGGTGAGTGCGTCGAATCTTCAGCAGGCCGTTTTGGCCTGCGAAGTGCCGGGGTGAGCATTAACGCGAGATCTCCTTCTGCCAGCGATAGTCTTCCGATATTTTCGTTGCCCATTTCTTTTGCTCGGGTCTCAAGGCTGTCGGAGCGCCGATTGGCTTCAACATTGCGCAAGCGTCCTTTGAGGGCTTCCAGCTCTTCAGTCAAGCCAGCAAGTGCGTATGCTCGCTCAAATGCCTCTTGCTTCGCTTGTTCCTTCGCCGCTCGCTCGCAGAGAACTTCTTCCTTCAATCCTCTGGTCTCCGACCGTGCGTGTTTCAATTCCTCCTGTAATTTTACCAGAGCGGAACCCGCGCGAAACGCTTCTTTTCTTGCCTTTCTAATCTCTTTTTCAAAGACTGACCGTTCATGCGCCTGTCGTTCTTTGGCTGCTTGAAGTTCTTCTAGCAATGATTCGAGTCGCTCGCTTATGCGACGTTCTCGTGACTGTGCCTCGGAAAGCTGAGCGGAGACACTGGCTAAAGCAGATTCTGCCTCTTCACGTCCGAGAAGTGCTCTCTGTAGCGCTGCCGAAGTACCAGATGATGTTGATGGCTGTGGTGTATTTGCCGGGCTGTTTCCACGAGACAGATTGTTCAAGTATGCTACTCTCGCCTGAACGTCGGACATCCCCCTTGTCTTCTTTCGTTGCTGTATATCCAGAATATCCGATTGCCGTGATGGTGAGCTAGGAATGGTCTGCTGTTGATTCATCCGCTCAGGCGAGAGTGGATGAAGTATTTTCGTAGGACTGGACAGAATAGGAGAGTCCATCGCGAATAGCTGTTGATGGGTGTCAGACCAAAGGCGATACGGTCCGTCTCGTGCTAATCAAGCATGACAATCGCTGAAAGGTTTGCGAGTGTAGGGTATCGAGGTGGAGGGGGAGCTTGGGTTGACACTTGGATCTGAATGTCAAGCCTTTATCGAACTGACGCACCCACAACACACA